TTGAGAGTAGCGTATGAAACCATTGTTCAGTTTTAGTACGCGGTTCTTTGATGTTCTTACTTTAATAACAATCACATTTGAATGAATGAAGACTATGGAGATCACTCAATACGAGTCCAGCTCCAGAGATGATCATCACTGGGTGGAGAAACTCTTCCCTCCTCGATTCACCTTACAAAACTTGCTGGAAAGTCATACAAACACTAATGAACAAGACAACAGTTCAATGAAACCATTATCATCTGACTCCACAGACAGGGCTGAATCCCAGAGGAGCCGCAGAAGACAGATCTACCTGAGGGCTTTGAAAGAAGTCCAACACACTGAGCGAACGCTAAAAACAGAGACCTTAACCAGGAGAATTATCAGACACGATCAGCCTGAACATGAAGGAGCAAACTCTGACCAGACTGACATTGAGAGATGCATTTGGACTGAGAGAGACATCAGCAAACTACGGAGTTGTTTGGAAGAAGTGGAGAGGGACAGATGGCGACTAAAGCAACAGCTCAGTTATACAGAAGACCAGCTTAAGGCAGAACATGAGCAAAGGATGAAGCTGCAAGGCATGGTGGAGAAGTTGGAGGAACAGTTAAGCCTCTCCAAAAAAAGGGCTGCACGTCAGGCCCTCATGATGAATGATCTCAAGTCAGAGAGCCAAAAAATGAACGCTCAGTTACGTAAGCTGACTCTAGAGGTCAGGGAAAAGGAGGAAGAGGCGAACAGGTGGAAGACAACTCTGAAACAAGCCAAAGAGGACATGCAGGAGGGTGTACGGGAGCGCTCCAAACTCGCTTGGGAACTGGAAAGAGTGCGAGAGCAGTGGAAGTGTGAAGGAGAAAGGATTGAAAAAGCAGCTCGGATAGAAAATGAGTCTGTGCTGATGAGGCTTCAGAAGGAGCTCGAACAGGCCAGAGCTGATACACATGCAGAGAAAGAAAGGCACGTGAGGAGCCAAACAGCGCTTCAGATTTTACGCAGACACTACAGCAACCAATAGATACCAGAGAAATCATACAGTTAAAGTCAAAATGATTTTTTTTCATTATCAAATATCTCCTAAATGATTTTTCAGCAGCAGTTTTTACAGAGTAAGGAAGTTTTTGCAGTATTTCATATATTTCGTCCTCTGGAGAAAGTCTTATTTGTTTTATTTCAGCTAGAATGAAAGCAGTTCAGACCATATAAGGTCAAAATTATTACAGAGTATTTACCGAAATCAGAGAGTGAAATTCAATACCTTTTAAGATCTTTTAAAAGACTCTTTCCATACATTTTAAGACCTTATAACCTCTTTTTAACTGGAAATACTGGTGAGATTTTAACTTGCAGTATATTTGCTAAATTCATTATATTATATACTGAATAAAAATCTATTAAATCTTGCTAATTCAACAGGTTGGTGCATATAGAACTGCTTAAATAATGGTGTTGCCTTGGGGTTACTGAAGTACACAAAGCAGGATCTAGCAGGATTCCATTGATTTCATAAACTACACAGCATCCTAATATTCACAGATTTAATTCAGGCAAACTGTAGCATATACTATACATTGCATGATTAAAAAGTCTATAAAATTTAAAACCTTGCTAAATAGCATTTAATACTTTTTAAGGGCCTTAAATTTCTCTAAGTTGATTGATCAACTTTTAATACTACTTTTTAAGATCTTGTGGACACCCTGTATTAACCCTTTAAGTAAAACTTTCTAATTGTCGGCAGCACAAACCATCATAATACAATGATTTGCCTAGTTAACCCATATAGTAAGCTTTTAAATGTTACTTTAAACTGTATCTTGAAAAATATCTAGTCAAATATTATGTTATGTCATCATGGCAAAGATAAAAAGAAATCGGTTCATAGAAATTAGTTATTAAAGCTATTATGTTTAGAAATGTGTTAGAAAAAAAAAATCTTTCCATTAAACAGAAATTGGGGAAAAATATATATGAAGGCTAATAATTCAGACTGAAAATTAGTTCAAATGAAGCTGCTTGCATCGTTGAAGTGCAGAACCCCTTCGGACCCTTTGTCCATTATAATGCACATGTCAACCCACAAATTTTACATTTTTTTTATTTATTTACTTTTTGTGTGGTTCCTGAGCATTTCATCTAATTTAAAGCTAGCAGTCAATGAAAGTGGATGATTGTCATCCAATCAAATGGCAGTATGAGGCTTGGCATGGTGTAATTTGAAAAAAATCCACCACATTGAAAAGCAGCATGGCATTACTTCACTCCAGACACAAGCCACATTTACGATGTTTTATTCAGATATACCGATATATTTGCCAATATTTCATAAATTGTATGTAAAAAAAAAAAGAGGGATTGCACTTACTAATTAGTTTAAAATCTTGTGTAACATTGCAAGCTTTACATCAGGATTTTTCTCAAATACGTCTGTCCATTAGGATGCACAATGGGTTTGAGATCTGTTTTATATATATATATATATATATATATATATATATATATATATATATATATATATATATATATATATATATATATATAAATAAAAGACTATATCAATGCAGATAGAAATCTCACATGTGGACTATGTGGAGTGATGAGGAAGATGAAGGGAACTTTTTTTATATAAACAAGATGCAATCTATGCAACAAAACCTCCAAAATAGAAAAAGTAAAAATAGTATAATGTTAATGTTTGTGATTTAGAAAATGCATTTAAAAATTCCAACAATTTTTTTGTATTTTATGTTGGTGTAATATTCGGGAAGTACAACTGTTTTGACCTGATGTCCAATGAAATGGACAAAAAGTATATATACTTAAAGGGTGTTGAATTTTTATTATTATAATTTGATCTCATTTACAGAAGCCTCAAGAACTGTGAAAACATACTTTTACATTTTTCTAAAAAAATGGAACATAATTCACAATCAAATAAAAACAAAAATCATGTTGAATCGCGCGCACACACACACACACACACAAGAAGTGATGTTGTTTGTTTTATTTCCAATATGCCTCCACACTTGTCTTTTTAAAATAAAACTTTATGTACATACATAGTCCTCTCCCACAGTGGAAAATAGAACAGAAAACTCGTAGGAAAATGAGTGAAAAACAGTGAAAGCATAGCAAACATTATCAGTCAAAACTGCAAATAATAAAGGTGAATATAATGCACCGTAATAACTTATCAAAGATTAAACATTATTTGGAATCTCTTTGTCCTCAGAGATCACTATCACTGCATGGAGAATCTGAAGGCTCAAAGCTTCAACAAGCTTAAGGACAAAACCTCCTTTAAAACCCTGTCAGCGGAATAATCACATTTGGCTGAACACCCATTCTTGTACTTGTGGTATCAAGTGACATTTAATGAAATGGTGGAAATGTTTGGTTATAGATAGCTGGAGATATTTTTTTAAAGGGGGGGTGAATCTGTCTGTGCCCCCGTTCAACACAAAGGCTTCGTGATTTTACACAGGTTACATTTTATACAAAACAAAGAAAGGCAGCTCTGAAGGTTTTCCCCCTTTCCCTCCAAAATACAATAAAGTTCCGCATGCACAAGTCAGACTTGCAAAATAAAAAATGTTTGGTTTTTTGCTTCTGGCGATGAGCTGACTGAAAAATGTCAAAGCAAAAGCAAACATTTGCATTCATTAAAAACATTTTGGAGTGAAACTGTGGCTCATTTACAAAAGCACAGTGAGTAACATTCTATGTACCCATTAGCAAACTGCAAAGATTCAATAGTTTCCCTTGTAGGTCCTATTCAGCATTACAAGACCACAACTGTGGCATGTTGTAAGGTCTTTTTTAGACTTGCATAATTCAAACTACACTCTAAATCTACAATACCAGAAACACTTTACAATAAGGTTTGATTTGCTAGCATTAAAATGAATAGTTCACCCAAAAAAATAAATAATGTACTCCCCCTCCACCGGTTCCAAAACAGTTGAAATGTAAAGATTTTAAAGAAAATGTACAGAACTGGTAGCCATAGCACAGACCTCCATAGTATTTTGTTTTTCCTAATATAGATGTCAGATGGTTACCCCTTTCCAAAATATATTGCTTTAAACAACAACAAAAATCACAAAAGGTTTGAAACCACTTAAAGGTTAGTAAAATTTACATTTTTGGGTTAATTATTCCTTTTAATTAACACATCTTAATTGCACACTTTGTTCATTAATTCATAATACAAACTATTGTTATTTTTTCCAATTGAAACATCAATAAAATCTCTGACCTTACTGCAAAGTGTTACTACAATATCAATTTAATCGAAGCAGAGGGGGGAAAAAAAACAGCACTTAGGAATTTAAAACCTATGAGGTATATAAGAAAGGAACTTTTGTGCAAACAGAGTACATAAAACATATTCAACTTAGGGTATAAAGACTAATGGTGAAACCTCTCAGTAGAATCCTGTTCTGCATTTCATCGAAAACGTCAAAGACGTACTGAAAAGTGCAATCCATAGTTGTACATAGTCAGGCATCTTAAGATATAACGTGTGTTACCACGGCTTTGGCTCATTCAAGTTTGACAGTGCAGGACATGAAGAACGGTGTTAAACAGTCTTTCCTATTGCATCCATCTTTTAAAGGCTTAATTGGCTAGTCTAAGCGAAGTCCATCAAAATGCAGCATGAAGAAACTCGCAACATGCTTCGGCTTTTTACATTTTTTCAGGGTTACAGTGTTTGTGTGTGTGTGTGTGTGGAGGTTATCATGTCTTGCACTGTAATTGTGTACCATGTTTTCCCACTAGAGTTGATTTCACAGTTTATTTTAAATGCAGAGTTCACCTCAAAATTTAAATTTGCTGTTAATTTACTTGCATTTTTAGGCATCCAAGATGTTGGCGACTTCTTTTGCTCAAAATGTGATCATAAATAAATCAAAGTTAAAGTCAACGTAAAGCTACCAGTACGTTGAGAGTCAAAAAAAAAAAAAAAAAAGAATAAAAACCTATCGAGGCAAAACGCTGTTAATGGTTTTTTTTAATTTTTTTTTTAGCTCTAAACATGCCAACAGCCAGTGATATTCATTTTAAATTGAAATCTAATCAAGATCAAGGTTAACTAAAATCTACTGGAAAAAGGGGTCACCTCTTGGATTGCCTGGGTGTCAGTAAATTACAAAATTTTGGGGTGAACCTCTTTTTAACTGAGAAAATTTTTTTAAAGGAGTATTACCTTTTCAGTTATTTCACATAATGTTTTAATAGTTTAAAATAAAACTAGTACTCCTAAAGGTGTTAACCCAAGCAAAAGCAGAGCAATACTACAAATCCAATGTTATAGATAAATAAATGTAATAGAAGACCCAGAATGAGCAAACTTTTTAAATAAGGCACCCAGTTAAAATTGGAAATGGAGTGCAGCATGACCACTGAACTCCCCGGGCTATTTTTCCTCAAAGATAAGGTTTTGCTTAACCACATGACATTTTCTGGCTATTAAAATGCTTTAATGTCCTTTAACTAGTTTAAACGTGAGAATGTCCCATTAAATTGGTGTTCGTCTGCTGGAAAGATGGCCCCATACTCTACTGTATTTATGATCTAGTATTTTTTCTTTGTGTGTTCATTAACATTTGGTTTTCTTGTTGCGAGATTAAGAACTGGCACTAATGGCCAACCTGAAGCAAAGCTCTCAGATTTAGTGCAAATATGCAAAGCCATACCTGTACCAATGTGCTTACTCTAACTTTTAAAAACAATATTAAAAAGCCCTGAACGGATGAATTTGGATAAATGTTTTAATTTACCATATGAAGGCGAATCGATTTGCCTTCTTTTGTAAGGGCAGTGCTCAAATTGTATATAGGTTTAAATGGAGTGTTTCAGTTCCACATGCTCCTCCTGCAGCAAAAACCTGCTCGCCCCAAATAAAGGGACAGACATGTGTTTGCACATCCTGACAGCATTTCTCAACCAGGTTATATGAAAAAGATTTATTCCCAGCGATGCCTTTCTTTGTTTCGTTCTTTGACTTTCCCTTCAATCCAAATCTCACCCCACATAAATCAAACCATGTCACTAGCCGAGCGCCCCGGTTCTACGCTCCACATCTTCCCATTAGGACTCCTCTGCCGGTGCAGGCCGTTTGAGGTCCCGGATCTGCTTAATGAGATAGTTCTTCTCATCACAGAACTGCTCGTCTTCAGAACGGTCCGTTTGAAAGTGGCTCAGGAACTCCACCAGCTTGGACTGATTCTTGAGGAGGATGTCCAGCACAGGCTGTGTCTTATTGGGGTTTGCCACAAACACCTAAGAAGACACACACACAAACACTCACACATGAAATAAAAGTGCATTTTGGTCTGCGCCAATAGCCTAGTGGTTAAGTGCGGCAACATAAAGCACCATGGTGCTCACAGCGACCAGAGTTTGATTCCCAACTCGAGGTCCTTTGCTGACACTTACCCTCTTTCTGCTCCCAATTCTTTCCTGTCTGTATCCTCCACTGTCCTTTCCAATTAAAGGTAATAAACCCCCTAAAAATTAACTATATATATATATATATATATATATATATATATATATATATATATATAAATAAAAGTGCATTAAGAATCCCTAAATATAGCTTCATGTGGTTTAAACTACAGCACATTTCGCATAGGCCAAATCCACCTGGCAATGGATTTAGGCCAATCCACAAAGTTTAGCGTTTATCAGTACTAATTATTTTGATAATGGGTTACAGTATGTAGCGATGTACATAGGAAAAACACCACTTTTTGGAAATGATGACATCATAGTACTACGTGACCAAAAGGAAGAACCCCACATGTAACAAACGGAAACAACAACTGCTAAGTGTATTAGCACTATTACAACAAAATCTGGCAATGCTGTTTACAAGGCAAGCTTGTCCTCTTGCTTTTTTTAATTCACCATAACATTTCTGTAAAAATTTTGGACAACTCAAAATTCTGCTACACAGAAAACTTGCTAAAAATGGAACCCTCTTGAATCGTTTGCTTTTGTTTTCAATTTCACAAATAGGTGAACTTTTACCAGTGTAAAAAGTGACATCCCATGATTTTCTATATGTAAAATAAAGAAAGCATACAGGCTGTGCTTTATGCCATCATCTAGAATTTGTGGAGAGTGGACATATGCCAATATTCAATAATTCAACATGTTGTGGGCAATTCAAAATACAGCAAATACTAATTATTAGTATTATTTAAACTTTGACAGGTCTTAAGCAAACGCAGATTGCATTTGTAGGAGTTCACAACAGTGCCAAATGCTTGAATTAACTTAATAGTTATTGACTGAATTATTAGTAATAGTCTAACTTCTTCACATGATAATCTGGCCTACTACATGCTGAAATACTGACATGCTCTGACTTGTATAGTATAGCAATAAGGCTCTAACATTAGTTAATTTAGCTAATTTAACTGACTCGCATCACGATTAAAACTTTTAGAAAGTTTTTATTAATTTAGGTGATGTTAATTTCTTAGTTGTGTTAAAATTGTAGTCGCAATCATTTGATTAAATGGAGTTAATAACCAATAAAATGCGGTTGTATTTTTACTTCAAACTAACATAATAACTAATAAATCTGTCCTTTCTCACTGTTGATTTTAATGCTTCAACTTTTATTAATGAGACTTAATGGTGAAGTGTTGCCTGAAGTACTTTTTGCACTTTAATCTGGTTGAAATATTTGTTTACTCTAAACATGTGTATATACATAAAGTAACGTACAAAATGTTTTTGTTATTATGCCTGTAAATTTACTAATTTTGCAGCTTAGGTCAATATTGTCATAATACCATATACAGTAATAAAAACTTTGGCAATTAATGGCAACAAGAAAATTGGATACTGGCAGAAGCCTATTGGAGAGCATTTTATATATATATATATATATATATATATATATATATATATATATATATATATATATATATATATATATATATATATATATATATATATATATATATATATAAAAGATAGGCTACTTCAGGTAGCGATTTCTTATTTATGTTGTTAAGTGAAACATTTTCAAGTATATGATAGTTTTTTAATTGTGTTCAATTTACATAAACGAATAAACAAAACCTCTCAAAGAAGCATTACAGGCTGCTATTTGCACACGTTTAAAAAAAAAAAAAAAAAAAAAAAAGGTACCAGCAAAGATGCATTTACAATTACATGCATCACATATACATTATATACAGTTGAAGTCAGAATTATTAGCCCCCCTGAATTATTAGACCGCTTTTTTATTTTTTCCCTAATTTCTGTTTAACAGAGAGCAGATTTTTTTCAGCACATTTCTAAATATAATAGTTTTAATAACTCATTTCTAATAATGGATTTATTTTACCTTTACCATCATGACAGTAAATAATATTTGACTTGATATTTTTCAAGACAGCTTTAAGTGACATTTAAAGGCTTAACTAGGTTAATTAGGTTAACTAGGCAGGTTAGGGTAATTAGGCAAGTTATTGTATAACGATGGTTATGTATGTTCTGTAGACTATCAAAAAAAAACGTAGCTTAAAGGGGCTAATAATTGTCCCTAAAATGGTGTTTAAAAAATTAAAAGCTGCTTTTATTCTAGCCGAAATAAAACAAATAAGACTTATTATAATAATAATGATAATATCACATACTGTGAAAATTTCCTTGCTCTGTTAAACATCATTTGATAAATATTTAAAAAATAAGGAAAAATGTAAAAAATATATAAATAAAAACAAATCGAAGGGGGCTAATAATTCTGACTTCAACTGTGTGTGTGTGTGTGTGTGTGTGTATATATATATTTTTTTTTTTTTTTCTGTCAATTGCTCCCCTGTCGTTCAAGCTATGCCTACTGATATCACAAACGGGCACATTAAAGATGACAGTAGATGACCCACTAGATCATGTCATTCGCCAGTTAGAAAAGTTAATAGTACTTTATAATGCAACAATTCCAAATGAAAAACTGTATTATATTTAGCATGTTTTCAGTTGTGTAGCAAGCAAAACATGTCATAATGTGCAATATTTCATGCATGCAAGAATCGCTGGTTCACTCGCTCACGCGCTTTGTCCTAAAGTGACTACTGTATGCTTAGTGCTTGGCCAGTGGCTTTTAGTAATTATACTGATTACTAAGCCATACTTACATGCTATTTCAGACTGAATATTCAAAGTAGCATGGTAAACAATATTGGGAGCACATTCGTTCAAAAATTAACCAATGCGAATATAAAACCAACTTGACCTCAGTAAAGCCGGCTACGAGGAATAGCGCTATTTACTTATGTTTTGTTGTTAAACTAAATAAAAATCTACATTATCGATACTGTAAAAGGCCTTATAAATCTGAAAATAGTCACATCAATCTTTCACCCGAACATTTCAGTGGCTAAACAACACTTCCGTGCGTATAACCCATTCATAATACAACAAAATCTACATCAGCTTTGCATCACTAAAATGGTTTTAAAAGATAAATGGTCTAAAGGAAATACGTCAGCCATGATGTCATCCTTTCCTCAGCGTGCAAAAGTAACTCCAATATTGAATCAGGATTTTAAAAAGTTTTGATTCAGCATTGGTATTTACCGCCGTCACTCCCTCGCTCTTGTGCGCACCTGAACGCGGCACGTGTGTATGCGCAAACGGCGGATCTGCGTGAACAGGTGCGCAGATGTACAAATCTACATTTGTTGACGGACAGTCTAGGCTACTTATCAAAATACGGGAATACTTATAGGAATTATCCAACAATTTTTAATTGGATCAACTTTTAGTCTTATGCCCTACCCAGAATATAAAAATACATTTAGATAATTTACTTTAATCATTACTATTGGAATGTGAAGAGAACTTCAACCGGCACAACAAAAAAAAAATGTTTCTGAAAATAATCACCTATTGCACCTCTAAAATAGTTGTATAAAGTAATTTTACATCGTTGTTAGATCATTCTTCCAAAAAGGAAGCACTGATATACCAAAATACACTTTAGTTTCCCTATACATCTCATGTATACAAAGGAAACTAAAACAATGCTTTAACTAACATGGTTAAAAATAATGAATATTTCCTTTCGCTGATTACATTTCTCTGCAGTTCTCTAACATGACCTACTGCACTCTACTTTCGTGTCCTTAAACACTCGTTTGAGTTGATAGCTTATAAAAGCTTAGTTCTGTTTAAGCTTGTTTACTGTACATCATGTCACATAGCAGCATTTAGATAGGATTCTGTTTTTTTTGTTTCAAGTCAGAAATAATAAAGAGGCAGCTTTCCACAATGGGATGACCTAAATGTGCTGCCTTTATCCTACGGTTGTTTTTGTTTACAGCACCACATATAGGTGTGGCATATGCATTACACAATTTTAATCCAGTTTTCCCATTTCTATCTGATGCAGACTTTTCTTGATACTGTACATGTATGGACATGAACACTTTAGAATCCACAAAAGAAAAAAGAAAAACAATCTTTGCATCTGGATGTAGCCCAAGTAACCGTTTACATAAAAAAAAAAGGACCGAACTGTGACAGAAGAGCAGTCAGCTGTCGTGTGTGGAAAGTAATCGGAGTAGACAGAGGGAAAAGCAGACAAGTGCCTAATCCAAATATATTAAGTTACATCAAATGTTGTGCATATAAACATACCTTAAAGACGTGGAAGGCTTCGAATTGGATGTTGCGGCTGTTGTCTCTCAACATATTCATCATCAGCTTTAGGTTCTCAGCTCGACTGATGTATTTGGTCATGACTGTGAAGTTGTGTCTGTCCAGCAGTAGTTCTCCCAAGAGCTGGATATCATTTGATAGTCAGTAACAACATATGCAAACATGACAAAAAAAGTAAGTGGTATGAATGAAGCCACACCACATTACACATTGCTGCTTTTATTTAACAAAGAAAAGTTTGTCTTGAACCTTGTACATGGTGGTTTTATAAAACTATGTGGCCATTCAAGTTCCAAAAAAAAAAAAAAAAGCAGAGGCCTTTAAATTGTCGATCGTACATCCTAGTAGTTTAATCTTTGCCTCAAGGGTTTGAATACCTTTACTGCTTTGAATTATTGAAAACAGGACTTCATTCTCACCTTCAGAGACTGGCGCTTGGTGACATAATTTTCAGAATGCAGCAGCTTTTCATACTCTGTGAACACCTAAACACAGTAGTGACATGATTAAGCATATTTTTCACTTACAGCATGAAGTTAAAGAGTGGAAATTGCATATACCAAAAGCAGTTGCAGATAAAATACTGAATAAACTCACTCTGTCGTAATTTGTCTCCAAGAAGTCAGCACACATGATCTTGTGTCTTGTCAGGAGATCCTAAAAAAAGGTAAATGCACTAGTCATTTAAGGCAAGGTAAATATACTTTTGCATGCGTTTCCATACCTTGAATTAAAGAGATGTAGACACATACAAACACACAATTGGCATTGCTTTTGATAAATTGTTAGTGTCTCTAATGCATCCTTTCACTTGTGCAATTTTGTTTCTGTATAAATGTGTTTTCAACTTCCCCTTATGTTTGTATGTCTAACAGTTGTTTTCTTGATGTATGTGTTAAAGGGAAGTACTTCTTAATTTCATCAAAGGTTGATTTTTTTTACCCCAAAACTAAAATTTTGCTATTCTGCCACACAAATTCCACCTTACTGCATGTTTGGCAAACACATTTAAAGCTTCCGTTTATCATATTTGATGTGGTATGATGCATGTTGAGCTTTGTTTATATATAAACAGACATCTACACAAATTGTGCAATCCTGCTTTCAAAAAATAAAACAGCTCTACCCATCTGGATTAGTTTTACAATCTCATTGTTGTCCTTTTTGAAGAGTGTTGATTGCATAGGCATTCAATAGATGGACAAAAAAGTGAATGGGTTTGGAATTTTGGGGTTACTTAAAGAATCGTTTTAATTACAGCAGAAAAAGGCTATACTATTGTGTCTTGTCACATGGTTCGATGAGTAAAAGTTGTTTTATGATGGCACAGCAGTGTTTTTCATTTATTGCTCTCTTCATAATAGTTGATGATTTACATACCAGTAACATCATTTTACATAGCATTTTATCTGAATTTTAAAAAGTAACAAATTCCATTGCAACAGTAATGCCAATAAAAAATATATATAAATGTTTTACATTTTTTTTGTTGCCTCTATGTTATCAAGACAAAGTTTGCTAGTTAGAAGTCCACAAAAAAAAATAATAATAATGTCATACCTTAAATGATGCAAAAGCATCAGAGGCAATGTCAAAGGTAGACATCTCCACATAGCGGAAGAAGCAGTAGAAATCCTCAGAGAACAGAACGATTCGGGCAAGAGGATCATGACGCAGACACTCCCTCAGCATCATTCCGCAGTTTAGAGCCACTTCTGAAGTTTCATAGCTGCATTCATAATGATAAAAACACAACAACATGAAAGATCCACACTTGTTTGTAAACATGTATAAATACAGCTATGAAAAAAATTGAGTTTCAATTTAAAAGAAATGTTTTGTTTTGCAAACTACTCATGACAATAGTTCTGAATTCAAAATTAAAATACTGTCAATGTCAACAACTACTCAAAGAAAAGCCATGTTATAAGAGATATTCATCTTAATTTTTAGACAACAATACCACATAAAAAAAATCTATAAAATTAATATTTGGTGGAATAATTAGTTTTTCATTTTGCCTAATAGTCATTTTATGCTAGGTTTACCATGGTTTGGAAAAGTCAAGGTTTTAAAACCGTTTTCAGTTATACCTAAGGTATAGGTAAAGTTTTTTGATGCGTTTTTATAAATGTGTTGTAAAGAAATCTGTGTTTTTAAAACTAATGAGAGAGCAGTATGATTTATTTGAATTATTTAGCCTTCCATGTTTACTGTTTCAAAATATTATAAATGTTTCCTAAAATAAAATGTATTTTATTTAATGGGGGGAAAAGTGTTTTGTTTATTTTACCCAGACATTTAAAAAAATAACTTATTTTAGCGCAGTAAGCACAAAACCTTGATATTGTGGTATTTTTATCCAAGGTTATCATACTGTCAGAAACTTATACCGGCCCATGTCCAATCATTTACTTAAAATTTGGCAGAAAAAAAATTATAGAATAAAACAAATATTTACATTTTACCCAAGCACACCCAATACATTCAGTAAATCCAGAAAAGTGCAAAATCAATAAGTAGTCGTTTAACTTTTTACATAGCTGTATATAAAACAGTGCCCAGAGACAAACTATTAAAAGCCACGATTCAACCACAATAAGGAACTAAAGTGTCAATAACTAGATATGTTTGTTCTGTAAAAGTCAAACATCACTGGCAGCCCAGCCACATGGACAGGAAATGGGAAAAATGATGGTCCTAAAATAACCACGCAACCACAGTCTCCACATAACATCAATTGAAAAAGCTAGGCTAATCAATGGCTTCTAAAAGTGTTGATCCATGTCTATGTCCCGGGGTCTGGAAACTCACCCTTTCAGCAGCATAAAGAGGATTTGTGAGTGAGAAGAGATGTACTCCACAGTCGGCGTGCGAGCACCAATCTGGCGACGTACTATGTTGCTAAACAGATGCACCACATCCTTCTTTCCCTTTTGGTGAACAACATGTTTTAAAATCAAAGAGAGTAAACAGCAAATGAGTAATTACTGCACAGAGCAAATTCATCTTCAAGCAGGGTGGAAGCAGTCCAAACATTTCAAACGCAATGATATGCACCTCGAAATCAATCCTCTGTAGATTTGCTATGAGGGAAATGAGGAGGTTGGTGTTGTAGAGCTCTTGAGCCAGTTGGGCCACTGCTTCGGTCTGAGGCTCCTTGTCTCCGGTGCCACACAGCACCTCTTTCAACGACGAGAGATTTTTAGATACTTCCTCTGCAACCTACAGGAAAAACAGTGAGTTTTTCTGGCTCAGAGCACAGTTTGCTAAAACATTCACATTGAAATGTTGACATTAAATAGATGAACCTTTTCACATTTCTTGCTTTCAGATGATTCCAGCTTCTCCAAGTATGCCACATTCTCCTTCAGACTCTTTACAATCTCTGCAGGGCTCTTTTGAGACTTCCCAAATGGGAACGGCATGGTTTTAGCTGGGATGTGCGTTGGATGTGGAAGGACGATGGAAATGTTTCACCTTTAAAATTAAAATAGCATACAAATTTGGTCATTATAATGGACAAAAAGTACAAAACAGAAAGGAGGGGATTACAAAACCACCAAGAAAAAGGCTTTGTACTGTTAATTTAACTTACTACACAAAATGTAAAACAATAATAAAAAGGATATGTAGGTCAAAATGTTCTGACATTCTTAAAACAACATATCTTGTAGATGAACTCAGATTACACAACTATTACTTTCTCGTGACTACATTTATAACCAAACATTTTATAAACACACTTTGTAGTTTCACGCGTGGTTCACCTTTTCTCAGTTAAAAGCAAGTTTACGAAGCTAAATAGGTTAAACTAAAAAAAACGAGTCACTTCGATGAGCAGCTAGGCAATTTGTTCAACTCGAAAAACAGCTAATGTCCCGATGAGCTAAGCTAACCTCCACCCAGCACTTATCGATCAACACTTCCCAGGAACTCAAAATTACTCAACACAGTCACATTACTGGTTAGTATGTCACTCTTTACTATCCTAAAACGGAGACATAAAAATAAAAACAAACGTACGCGGGAGAAATACAATTAATCTACTTTTAAAGCCTTCAGATGGCTGGACATGTAGCCGTGTAGCTTACTGGCTAACTGACTTCTGTCAGGCATGATCATCATGGCCAAACGAGCAAGAAGAATAACTCAAACCAGGAAACTAAGCACTTAGATAACCGATTTTGCTCACTCTTTCCATACGTTTAACTTGTAAAGGTGATTTAAGATCGTATAAAGAAAGTTTCAGTTTGACACGCAGTTTGAGATGAACCTTTCAACTTTTTAATTAATTTTTTTTTTGACAGTTGATCATCTTGCGATTTGATCTTTAAAAGCAAACAGAAAAACAAGCAATCAAGAAGAACTCGTCGAAAACAACGGAAATACGACAATGAGTAACGTTATTTGAAGTGCGATGAACAGAGGAAAAATGACAGACGACATGTCAAGCTAAAGTGGATGTGTGTTAGCTGGAGCAGGCAGGCAGAGACACTCACCGCATTCACCAGACTTAAAACGTCCAATTTATAATCCAAACACCGCGATGAGGACCAAAGTTGGATGGATCTGCGAGCAGCTAAATATAAAGCTATTAATCCAGTTCAAGCTATGACGAACATAGTATTTAACTCTCCAAAAGGAGATAATTTCGGGGTTTAGTAACTGCGATTAATTTAGGAGTGGTTTGCTGCTCGTACACTTCAAGCTTCTGCCGCTTTACTTTATCAGGGAAGTTGACGAGACTTTTTGAACGCCCCCTTTTTAACTGACGTCAACTCCGACCAATCAGCACGCGAGACGGCGGCGCACACCCTGAAACAAAAATCGAAGTAAATTAAGATGAATTGAGGCAAGGCAACAAACCACTGCTGGATTATGGATGATGGAGTTCAGAGTTCAGACCTATTTCGGACACAGGCTGCAAAGTAAGCTAAACACCAGCGTCTTGTTGCATTCAGCCAGAGGTTAACCACCAGGGCAGGGCCGCTGGCTAAATTACTATTTTTAATTCATTAATATTAGCCTCCCAAAACATAACATTCGTCCTTTTTAGCTCACGCTTGCTGGATTATTGGTTCACACACAATCATTTGTTTTGCCTATAGTATATTGTGTATATTAAAGTTTGGTTAGCCTGTTCTATTTAGGTGTACTTTCATGGTTTTGCCAAAGTTTATTTACTCATTCATTCATTTTCTTTTCAGCTTAGTCATTTTATTCATCAGGAGTCACCACAGCGGACGCCCCTTCACCCATACACTCTCACATTCACACACACATACACTAAGGCCAATTTAGTTTATTCAGTTCACCTATAGAGCATGTCTTTGGACATTGGGGTAAACCGGAGCACCCGGAGGAAACTCTAATTCTAATTGTTGTTTGTAATAGTAGTAACCATTGATATACGCCACACCGCTTCTTACATGCTGACTTGTCTGCCATTTTAAAATGGCCAGGATAAATGAGTTTCTAAGATGCCACAACTTTACATTGTCTATAGTGTAAACAACAAGAACATTTAAAGTCCAGAAAAATTGGGATGATCTCAAAGATAAATGTGTTGGTTTGTCTTTTTTTTAAATGTAATGACAATGTTTTACATTTTTATTTGCAGTGTTAACTTATAAAACATTTTCGTTTGATTGTTGATAGTATTGCCATAAAAAAATCATATTTCTGAGTCTAATGTGAAGAACGTAGAGAAAAACATCCCTTGTATCATCTCAAAATTACAGAAATTAATTACCATGTCACGTGAATGCATCTTCTGCAAGGTCATGCAATCAACATGGCATCACACATGATGGACCTGCTCCCTGAAAATACAACAGCTTTTTCAAGATGGGTGGTATTATTTTATTAAATTATTTTATATAAGTGTATATAATTTAATCTCAAATGTCCTATTCATGTCTGAGGAATAAACAAAAAGCATGATAGTTTTAAAGATGACTACAACTGTTGTAACAGCAAGACTTACATTTTCTTTTATCATTTTTATAACTATGATATGTCTCCAACATAGTTATAACCTAAATGGCACAGACACATCATTTTCAGAATTATTTTTCCCAGCTGATAAAGATTAACCTTAACCACCAATCAAAATTCACCAAAAATTAAATAGTTTGAGCATTTAAAGCAACATATGACTGCTATTACTATGAACATTATGTGGTTCTAAATTCAGCCACGGATAATACATAGCTTATATTTTAGTACATAATTATCATTCAGTATCGGTTACATGCACAAGATTTTTTTCTTAATGAAGTTTTCAATGAACAAAACAGGACAAAGATAAATAGAAATAAATGTACATTGTGATTATACATAAATAAAAAGAAAAACAAATCTATTGATACAAGACCTTGCGGTAAATGTGACTGGAAAAGCATGATTGTTAAAAATATTTTAAGAAAGTATTTAATTAAAGGTCTATAGCAATTTGCGTAACTTCACAAGATTGTAAAAAATAGCTCTAGACTTTTATTATTAACTTATAATAATTGAAGCACAAATACAAATACATTATTATTACATTATAAACTACTAACTGATAAAAAATATGAATAATATGAAGGCAAGAATATTTATAAAGCACATTTCATACACAATAGTAATTAAAAGTGTTTTACATAAGCAAGAAATAAAGAGACAAAAATAAAAATAATTAAAAACAGATTCAAATGTATTAAATAGGCTTTAAAAAGAAAAGAAAGACATTATAGTGCAATCTGTTGGACAGATGTGTTTTAAGTCTTGATTTGAATGTGCCTAATGTTGGGAGTTTGGAGCACATCTGATCATTTCTGGAAGCTGATTTCATCAGTAGGGGGCATAGTAGCTGAAGGCGGATTCACTGCTTTGACTCAAGGCTGGGAATGTCTCATTTACTTGATCCTAATTATCTGAGGGATCTGTTAGGTTTTATTCAGTGAACATATCTGTAATGTATTGAAGTCCTAGGCTATTCAGTCATTTATAGACTAGTAATAATACTTTAATAATACTCTTCTGCATGTAACTGGGAGCCAGTGTAAAGACCTGAGGACAAGTGTGATGTGCTCCGATTTTTTGATTCTGGTCAGAATCCTGGCAGCAGCATTTGGATGAGCCAGTGAGGAATGCATTACAGTAATCCACCCTGCTGGTGATAAAAGCATGAGCAAATTTCTCAAAAAACTACAGAAATGTATATAGTTTATAGTTTTTGTGCAAAATGTTTGTTTTTAATTGTAATTTATGCTGCAAACTCATAAAAATTTAATGTACATTGATATGCACTAATAAATATGCAGTAATATGTAATGTAATGGCTATATAAAGCAGTATTCACAATTTCCAATAAAAATTATAGCTTTAATGCAATACAATAATATTTTCCATTGTCGTTGGGAGATATACAGAAAACAGTTTTACATTTTAAAATGTGAATATTTTATTAAACATCCATAATTTCATTTTTTGGTGGCACAGTGGCTCAGTGGTTAGCACCGTTGCCTCACAGCAAAAAAGTTGCTGGTTCAAGTCCTAGCTTGGCCAGTTGGCATTTAATTTTTTATCAGTTAGTAGTAGTTTACTAATAAAATGTATTTCGGCTACAATTATTATAATTTTCTAATAAAAGTCCAGAGCTTTGTTTTTTTTTTACCATTTTGTAAAGAATTAAGCAAATTGCCATAGACCTTTATTTAAATGCATCCTTAAATTCTTTTCAACAATGTTCTAACTTAATTTTATAAGTTAAGCTAGCTGATTTAAGTCAGTTTATCATAATGTAAGTTCAATGGACTCATACGGTTAATTTGATTCAGCATAAAAATTTAAGGAAACCAGGATGTTTTTACAGTGTAGTAATAGCAGACATCTGTTGTTTTAAATGCTCAAACTTTGTCAGCTGGGAAAAATTGTTCTGCAAATGATTCCAACTATATATTACTCTGTGCTATTATCGTTATAACTATCATCTCGTCATAAAAAACGAGTTTGCACGTTCTCCCCATGTTGGTGTGTTTCCTCCGGGTGCTCCAGTTTCCCTCAGTCTAAAGACATGCTCTTTAGGTGAACTGAATAAACTAAATTGGCTTACTATATTGAGCATGTGTGTGCTTCTCAGTATGTGTATGGGTGTTTACCAGTACTGGGTTGCAGCTGGAAGGGCATCTGCTGTGTAAACCATGCTGGATAAGTTGATGGTTCATTCCGCTCTGGTGATCCCTGATGAATAATTGGACTAAGCCGAATAAAATGAATGAATTTTACCTTAAAGTTTAGAGTTATGTTAAACTAAAGGCCTACTTTTAAAATGTAAAATGAACTATCAACAATCTGAAAACCACGAACATTATTTAGCTGCAAAATCTACAACAAAAAAATGGTTTATCCATAAACCATCGACATTTCGACGTTGTATTATGCAACTAATTTGTCTATTTGCTCGTCTGGGCCTATTCCTCAAGCTATCTTGACGGTGAACACAGCACGCAATAAAGGGGCGTGCGCGTACGCTTCAATGTCGGACAAACTTGCTTTTTGCAGCGCGCGACGTCACATGAACGCCTCGCAATGGTGAGAGGCAGAACTGAACTCACGAGCACTCAATGCTCAGCGAGAGGAGGAAGAGCGAGAACACGCGCTCGCGGCCAGCATAAACCTGCTTCCATTCAACACAGCAGCGGTAAGAGCCTCGGATCAGCCACACAGACACTGAGATGTACAGTTTAAGAGTCAAGGAGGAAACGGGACGAGTGGAACAGTAGTTGGGACTAGCTTCGTCTTTTTAATGCTGCGATATGTAAATACATCTCGTATGGCGGGGGCTCCACATGTGAAGCAAGGCATAATAATCCCACAGCGAACAGTGTTATGATACCCAAATGATGCTTTATTGTCTCCCCAACAAGTTCACATCTATTTTTTGCTGCACATTTGTGTATTTTTGTAGCCACCATATTATGATGTGGGCCTTAACATGGGTTCACTTGTGTTGATGTATATCTATTTAACGTTATATTATAGGATGAGGGACATCAGATTTGACATGGCTTTATATTAGTTCTCATTCACTAGAAAGTGAAAGAGTTTTTGTTAAGAGTGAAACAAGCTCTTTGCCGTGGGCCCTGTGTGTTATTCTCGTTCTCGTTTTTATGAAAACGGTGTAAGGGATGCTGTGTTCCTCCTTGTGCGGGTTTTGAGGGCTTCATTGAGACTTGTGTGCAGGTTGTATCAGCTGTTCTGCTGGATACAGAGTGGTTGCGTTGCTGTTTGTGTTGCAGGGAGAGAGAGAGCAGCTCGGCTATCATGGCTCCTCTGATGCGAGAAGGCGGGTAAAGAAATCGCTAATCAAAACAACACAATGTCCTTCTCAAAACACGATACAAATGGTGGATTTACAATCGTAAAAGCTCAGTCTCTGGTGTTGTGCAGTTGTGAGCGGAACTGGCGGGCTAGCTGTCTCGCGCGGGAGCTGTTTTGTGAACTCGGTCAGTCAGAGCTGGCTTGTGTCGATGCAGTGTTTCTAATACGCCACCCATTTACTTTTCCTACATCATTTTTATGCCTGTGAAAGTCTGTTTTTCACCAAACAGCATTATTAATGTTGGTTTAACTGACGTGTGCGAGCCTAGTTTGACGAAGCCTGCTGTTTGTGTGCTTGGCCCTCATTATGCTTGTGTACAACCTCGAGATATTTCTGTTTTATCATCAGATATAAACTTAAAAAAATATGTACACCAGTCATACATTGTATTTACTGCAGAATGTGTAAATTAAGGTCTCATTAAGATTAAAGGGCTTTATACAAGTTAAAACTTTTTGTCCCCCCTCCCCCCTAAAATAATAGGCTATATACAGTTGTGTATCTTCACATGCAGTCATGTTTTGCCAGTTTGAAGTGTGGTATTGTAAAGATAACATGTTTATAATTTCTGTGTGTACATTGTTTTTATTTTTTTCGTTGGTAATTATTTTTATAGGATGAAGATGTAATTAGATATGTTTTGTTGTAAACTTTTCTTTTGTATTTTAAGTAGACCTATTAACTTTAAAATGTGTTAAAATAGGTTGCGTGTGACTGGCTGAAACAAAAACAAAAAACTGATCACACTTTTGTGTCCCCTGGGCACCTCATAATTTAGTTAGATACACAAGTTTTAAATAGAAAAAGATTTGAAAACATTTGATGCTGTAAGTTTTTTTTTCCCAGATGCATAAATAATTATTTTCCAAAAAAGTTTCTCACCATTTACTCATTCTCAGATTTTCTATCATTTGTTAAACACAAAAGAATATATTTAGAAGAATGTTGGAAACCTGTAGCCATTTACTTATCCTATGAGGATTCAACATGATTTGAAAGATCTTTCTTTTGTATTCAACATTAGAATAGATTATGAGTATTTGAAAGATGTGAAGTGTAACTGTTTATATACATTTATGTATTTGGAAAGCGATTTTACCTAAATGAACTTATTACATTTAGATTCCCTGGGATTTCAACCTCCATTCCTGAAATTACTAGCTTCATTCTCTAGTGTTTGATCAATATTTATATTTTCCATCATTTTTATTCTTTTGCACTAAAGACGCTTCCAAATTTAAGTTATGCTGGTGATGTGTTTATCTGTTGGCCAAGTGTTGAACCCCCAAAATTAGTTTAGTAACCCAAAGTAATGAAAATGCCACAACCAGATTTCTGATGTATGTTTTTCTACGGTATATAGTGATGTAGTGAGATATGCAGGAGGTGCACAAGCACCACAAAATTGCAAGGATCAATTCTAGAAATACCAGCCACTTTATTAGGTACACCTGTCCAACTGCCCGTTAACGCAAATTTCTAATCAGCCAATCACATGGCAGCAACATGTATTTAGGCATGTAGACATGATGAAGACGATCTGCTGCAGTTCAAACCGAGCATCAGAATGGGGAAGAAAGATTATTTAAGTGACTTTGAACGTGGCATGTTTGTTGGTGCCAGATGGGCTTGTCTGAGTATTTCAGAAACTGCTGATCTACTGGGATTTTCATGCACAACCATCTCTAGGGTTAACAGAGAATGGTCTGAAAAAGGGAAAATATCCAGTGAGCGGCAGTTCTGTCAGTGCAAATGCCTTGTTGATGTCAGAGGAGAATGGCCAGACTGGTTCGAGCTGATGGAAAGGCAGCAGTAACTCAAATAACCGCATCTCTGAACACGCAACACGTCTAACTTTGAGGCGGATGGGCTACAGCAGCAGAAGACCACACCGGGTGCCACTCCCGTCAGCTAAGATCAGGAAACTGAGGCTACAAATATTTTCTTGGCACACTTTGGGCCCATTAGTACCAATTGAGTATCGTGTCAATGCCACAGCCTACCTGAGTATTGTTGCTAACCGTGCCCATCTCTTTATGACCAGAGTGTACCCATCTTCTGATGGCTACTTCCAGCAGGGTAACACATCATAAAGCACAAATCATCTCAGACTGGTTTCTTGAACATAACAATGAGTTCACTGTACTCAAATGGCCTCCACAGTCACCAGATCTCAATCCAATAGAGCACCTTTGGGATGTATTGGAACAGGAGATTCGTATCATGGATTTGCAGCTGACAAATCTGCAGCAACTGTGTAATGCTGTGTCATGTCAAGATGGACCAAAATCTCTGAGGAATATTTCCAGTACCTTGTTGAATCTATGCCATGAAGAAGTAAGGCAGTTCTGAAGGCAAAAGGGGGTCCAACCTAGTGCTAGCAAGGTGTACCTAATAAAAAGGCTTGGTCTAACATTTTCATAAGTTGATGATAAAATTATGTTCTTTCTTCCTCCATGTGCACCTCAGTTCAGTTGCAATGTTGTTTTTTTGTCTTTGAAACAGAGAAGAGGTGGAGTGTATGAAAACTGGTCATGTCAGGACAGAGAAAAGGAGCTTCAGCACGTCTTCGGAAATGTGCCTTCTGTAGAACCAACAGAGATAAGGAGTGTGGTCAGTTACTGGTGGCAGAGAGCCACAGGGTGGCAGCCCACCACAAGTGCATGGTATGTTAGCTGTACAACAACTTCAACCAATTTAAAACAACCTACAAATCGATGCAACATTAAAAAAAGCCCGAGATGAGAAAACAGTATGTTATTTTTAGCTTGTAGTTGTATAATGTCTGTTGCATAATTGGTTTTTAGAAAAATAGAGTAGATGCTTAGTAAATAAATAATTGAACACTAGTAAAATAATTAGATGCAAATGACTAGTATTTAATTGAATAATTAAATACTAGTAATTATGGTATAAATAAATACTATAATCAAATACTAGTGTGATATCATAGTAAATAACACTATACAAGTTTATTCGGTAAGTAAATTAGCTAGTGTATCTTTATTGCGTGTGTTTTTTTAAAGTTTACTAAACAGTACAATATTTAAATTTGTCAACATCTTAGAAGCTTTTTAAAATGTATTATTCACAACAAATCAACAAAAAAGCCTTTCAATTTGTCGACTTTTAACAAACTGGTCTCAGGCAGTGGAAAAAAGAAATAGTACATTGTGTGTGATGTGATTAAAATGCAGTTTTGTCAATCTGATCACAAGTGGAAAATGCTGAAATATGGTTTTGAATAGGGGGAGCTCTCTATGAAATCAGGAAAACGGACAAAAGTGACTAGGTTTAAACAGAAGTGTATCTTCCTATCTATTTGTGATCTAATTTACCAGAGCAAATCTTAAATCCAGGTGCAAACTGGGCCAATAATGTTAATTGCATATACAAAGACATGAAACGTGCGATAACATTTATTGTATCTAACAAATGCCTTGTGTGTGGTTTGTTTTTGTTTTCAACTCAGCTATTCTCATCAGCCTTGGTCACATCTCATTCAGACAGTGAAAACATCGGAGGCTTTTCTATTGAAGATGTGAAGAAGGAGATAAAAAGAGGAAATAAACTAGTATGCATTCAGTCCAACACCTTTCAAAAAACGTAGTCCTTTATTTAGGCTAAAAATAGAGAATGACCTATAGCCTTTTTTTTCTGTTCAGATGTGCACTTCCTGTCACCGGCCTGGGGCGACCATCGGCTGTGATGTAAAAACATGTAGAAGGACGTACCATTACTATTGTGCTCTATGGGATAAAGCCCAGACCAAGGAGAATCCCTCTCAAGGCATCTATCTGTAAGCATCATGAAGACACCGCATGGTTAAAGGAATAGTTTACCTGACAATGACAATTCTGACATCATTTACTCACCCTTCACTTGTTTCAAACCCGTTTCTTCTGTTGAACACAAAAGAAGATATTTTGAAGAATGTTGAAAAGCAGTAGCCTTTGACTTCCATCTATATTTTTGTTTTACTATGCAAGTCAATGGTTACAGGTTTTTAACTTTCTTTCTAATATCTTTTTTGTGTTTAACAGAAGAAAGCAACTCCAAATAGGTTTGGAACCAGGTAAAAGGTGAGTAAACGGTGCAGTTTTCATTTTTGGGTCGATTTTCCCTTTAAAAATGCATTTATTGTTATTAACTCTATTTCTTTCCGTTTTCTTCAAATTAGTGTTTACTGTCGCAAACACAGAGATGCCTCTCAAGATGGCAGTGATGGTAACTAACTCTGTTTCATTCATTGTTTTAAATAAACCTGTTTGTAAACCTGCCTTTATTAGATATTTGTTCTTATTCGCAGATGAACAGGGAGTTGCAGCCAATGATTCGGATTCATCTCCACCGAGGAGCAGAGGAAGGGGGCGTTTCGAGAAAAGCAGAATCAGAGGTGTATCTCGCGGACAGTCAGATGACACCCGATCCACGTCGTCGCAAGGCAATGACGATACAGAAAGCTCCTCGCATGTAGGAGACTTGACTTTTTCCTCTTCTAACCCATATTCGATGTAAGCTTCAGAATATTGGTTATGCTAATGGTCCTGTGTTTGTGTGTGTATGACACAGCGAGACCGGTCTCCTCTGAGAGGCAGCCCTGGTGATTCGGGTCTTCGATGTGGTTTTTGTCATGCCGGTGAAGAAGAGAATGAAACGCGTGGTGTGCTACACTCCGACAATGCCAAGAAAGTTGCTGCCCACTACAAATGCATGGTGAGGCTCTTTGAAGTAGATTATGACGAGAACAAATTTCTCATCAGTTCTGATGAGCCATATAGGCCTGCCATGATATCTATTCTTTGCTGTACGATATTTTGCCCCAAAATATATTGCGATAAACAATATTATTGTAATTTTAGGACAATTTTTTTGTCATTCATTATATAATGCCAGAATGACAATATAGTAGCATAATGTACAAGTACACTATTTCAAAGAACACATATTTTATTCCATGTAATATTTCATTTAATTATAGTCATTTTAACAATTTAATAATTAGGCATTTGAATCAGAATGTGAAACCGCATTTCCTCAACAAATAAATAATAATAATGAAAAATATTAACAAAAAAATGCCAGGTAAAAAGTAACAGAGGCTGTGATTGCAGATCTATTTTCAGTTGTCAGGCACCCACATGAAAATACTATGGTAATGTATAGTGAATACTATAGTGTTTTTTTTTTTAACCATACTGACAGACCTTTGATAGAGATAGGGAGGTTGTACATTCAGCTAAAATGTTGCTTGAATTGGGCTTTTATGTATGGGAGATATATATGGCATCACCAAAAATTATTGAAGTCATGTCCATATATTGTGGGAAGTCAATATATTGATTATTGTCACAAGCCTAAAGCCATATTAAAACGTCAGATTTGAAAAGCAAGAAACGTAACTACCGCAAAACATAGTAACATCGTCATCACGTTGCGTGATTAAAATGTTATTATAAATTTAGCATCAAAAATAGAAACTCTTAAATGCGTTTGCAGCAAGGTAAGCTGTAAAATGACTGTCCATACTCTTTCATCTGTAATGTTCCACCGTGTGTTTTTTTTTTCTTTTTTTCCCCTCTATAAACAATACGGATAAAGCTGCTGTCACACTGCACTTTTCACCCCATACACTTCTATTCATATGCATACGAATTTTGCAGACCCAAACCCGAAGATCGAGATGTGACCTCTCAGTACAGAAATTTAAAGTATTGATAATAATCTTGTTTTATCCAGTGACTTTTCATAGTGCTATATGACTAATGTGACCGCGGCTTAGACCATTAGTAAATCTGCCCCCTTAGTAGGGCTGGGAAATTGTGTTGATTTATAACTGATAATGATTTATCAATAAACAAAACAGATAATTATGATGATTCTCAAGCTAAAACTCTAAATATCTGCTGGAAATATCACTTTACAGTAGTGAATAATAAATAATTTATACACATAATATATAGCATAGCTTATGCTCACTATTCACTTGATGTTAAGAGGTTTTTATCAGTCCAGTCACAACTGTTGGATTTCTTTCATAATGTAAAGACTAATGTTGTTGAATACGTTCAAACAACCAACCACAAAAGACCACCTACTTTCCACTTTATAATAAAAAATAATAAGGATGTCAATTGAATAGGCTAAATTGACCATAGTGTATGTGTGGGAATGCAAGTGTAGTGGTGTTTCCCAGTGTTAGGTTGCGGCTGGAAGGCCATCTGCTGCATAAAACATGCTGCAACCCTGATGAATAATGAGGATGTCTTGAAGATTTTTTTTATTATAGTGTAGCAGTGACCGTATAGACAGTGCTTTGGATTCAGAGTGAATTCAAACATCCTCAATTCAAACATTATATGCTGTATTACATTTATGTTCCTGCTCAACATATATGCACTTTAAATGTAAATTGCAGATAACAATGACTGTCTTCAGTTCCCACATCTTTATCACGAGATTAAACAGAAACCCCAGCAGATATTTTCATGTGACCCATTTGGTCAGCAGGTGGTTCTTAATAATCTACTTTCGCTTAACAGTACGAGTTGATTTATCATTTTACACACTATTTTCCTATGATGATTACACTCTTTGTAAGGAAAGGAGCATGGTTTAATACACAATTTAAAGTTGAAGCTGGGTCAAGGCACACTATAATTGTACAATTTACAGATCTAACATGTGCTTGTTAGGGGACGTGTTGTGAGATAATAACTTGTGCACTCACAATGTTCAGCATTGATCAAGGAAGCGATTGTCATCCACATACATTACATTAGTTTGCACTGCCACTTGCTCAAAAGTTGTGTATTAAGGGTCTGTTCATACAGTAGTTCTTGTGTGCAAAAGTTATGTAGAGCTTGACAAAATGGATCTCTGAAATTTAAAACAAGTAGACACAAAAGGTCAAGTCATTCACATATGGTCTATTTACTTATTTTTCATGTTAGAAAAATGTTGATTCAAACTGTTCTGTTAAAACGACATCTTTAATCTACTCTGTTTCTCTCACAGCTTTTTTCTTCGGGTACTGTCCAGCTAACTACCAGCTCTCGTGCCGAATTCGGGAACTTTGACATTAAAACAGTCATCCAGGAAATCAAGAGAGGAAAAAGAATGGTGAACTTTTCACAGTCCTAATACCGTCTAGAATTACAAACTGTATTGCTGATGTAGAAAAGTTTGTAACCTTTTTTTGTTCGTCTCAGAAATGCACGCTCTGTGCCCAACTCGGAGCCACCATTGGATGTGAAATAAAAGCTTGCGTGAAGACCTACCATTATCACTGTGGCCTGCAAGACAAGGCCAAATACATAGAGAACATGGCGAGAGGAATTTACAAGTATGTTCTATCTGTCTGTCTTTCTGTCTGTCAATCCCTTCATCTATTTGTCCGTCTGTCTGTGTCTGTCTATCTATCTATACAGTTTAACTTCAGTTTCAGTTTCCTTTATTTATGTCATTCAACACATCACAATAGAATTGTAATGCAGAACGAAATTACGTTGCAACAGACCCAACAAGAACATAAAAAACATCACTATACAAACACTATAAAATTCTAACATGATAAATAAGCTTTTATAATTCCATAAAAATATAATAATATAAGATATAACCTATTTTTAACAATCTCTGAAGAGAATAACTTAATACTTAAATACCTGTTTCACCATTTGTTGTAATATTAACAATTTATGCTAGTTTAACAAATTTATTGATTTATTTTTAACACTAGCTATCAATAATGCTTTAGAAATGGTATTATTCAAAAGTCTTATAATGACAGGATAAAAACTATCTCGAAACCGCACTGATTTGCTCCTCAGGCTTCTGTAACGCCTACCTGATGGCATGAGTGAGCAGGCTATGACCAGGGTGGGTTGGATCCCCTAAAAAACTTCTTTATTTGTCTGTACATAATATTGTCAAAGTCTCAAAAATATCTCAAAGTTATTGAAATATGTATATAGATATTTCAGTATAATATGAACAACATTTTAAAAATAATTTTTATTATTAATTTATTAATAATAAAAAATATTAAATTTATAAAATTAATATGGTATTTTTTTAGAAACGTTTAACATGTGTTAACAAAAACAAAACATACAAAATTATAAAATAATTTATAATAAAAACAATTACAAGTATATAAATGTGTAGATGCACGTACATACACATAGAATATAAAGGTATCAAAACAATTGTGAATTAATAGCCGGTGGTACAAGAAATTACATGCACAAGATTTATATCATCCATCTGTCTATATATTCATCTGTCCATCTTGCAGTTTATCCGTCGAGTCATCCATTCGTCTGTTCGTCCATCTATTAGTTTAGCCATTCATTCATGATTTTGGATAAAATGCTTGAAAATGTAATTGTTGATGTATTAAATGGGTGCTTAAACTGTGGGAGAAGGCAAAATGCATGGAGTTTTACCACTTTGAGCGAACAGTACATGAAATTAGAATATATATCAATTTAAAATGAAAGATGACACATTTTAGACGTGAGCAAATGTCATTTAAGGGGTAAATGACAATAATTCAATGTTGGCCTGGGAGGGGGGTGTTCTTATAGTGTAGCATTCTAACAAATAGTATCTGATCTAATGTGATGATGTATGTAAATATGTCATTTGATACTTGGAGAAAATGTGAAAATGTACCTAGAAATTGCTTAAAAAGTGCTTAAATTTGACTTTGTAACAAGGGTCATAAATTCAAGGACCTTACACCTTTTCCCAAAGGTTTTGACATTTTGTATATTAAAATTATCAAGAACATCTAAAGTTGCTTCCGGTTCAGTACAGCACACTGTTTTCCACTGCATTTCTGGTGTTTTTTGTGGGCCGTACCGTTAACCAAACTTGACACATACACACTGCTGATCCCTAATTGGCCCAAGAGAATGGTTACTACCAGCATATTTGGTTTGCAACACACAAAACCAAATTCTCTATTTTAATGTCCGTAGTCACTGCTGTATTGTGGGGTTCATAACTAAACTGTTTTTATACCACCGTAAGAAAAAGAAACCTGAGATGCCAGCATCCAGGAATTAAAACAATATCATGGCAGAGAAGGTTGTAGCAACTACTGTATAACGATAATCCTGTCCACTTTAAGTGATTAATAAACTGCAGTGAAAATGCAAACTGTTTGAACTGTACTGTACCACACAGTGGAAAGCAGATTAAGACTCTTGCTGTAGTTTTTCAGTATAACATAAAGATTTGTTTCTTTTCAACAGGCTGTATTGTAAGAATCACAGTGGAAATGAGGAAAGGGATGAGGAAGATGAGGAGAGGGAAAGTCGTAGTAGAGAGAAAGCTGCTATTGACAACAGAGCAGATCCTCCATCGCAGGTCAACGGCAACTAGGAGGTTTGTATGTGTCTTTGGAAGGGAATTTCAGATTGATATAGATACTATTCATTGCTTCATTTTGATATTGCTTCAGACTGAATAAATTCCTAAATTTTCTGCCTTTTTTATGCAGATGCAACTCCATTTCGTTCAAGCCCTGTTCCTTTTGTAGATATAGGAAAACTTGGCTGTAGGTGCACTGAGAGTAGAATTAAATTAATCGATGTGTGTTAGTGGATGCTGCTCAATAATAGTTGGAGAGACGATAAACTTTCTCAAGAGCACTTTTTGATAGAGACAAAAATAATTCCGCTAAAAGTATAACTGTAAAATAATACCTGTACAGTGGGGCTCAAATCGGCGATTCTGGTATGAAATACAGGCACTCTAACAAGGACTCTAAAGACTGACCAATCAAGTCTATTGTAGATATTATCCATCAAGCAGGTAATGTTACTATTGCCAACACAGCGAACTTGTTAAAATACTGTTCAAATTAAACAGAAAATAATCACCTCATTGAAGGCCCAATGTTTTTAAATTTTAATCGCATTTGCTCCATTTGTGTTTTATTACAAGCACAATTATTTAAAGTATAAAAACATTTTATTTACAATACACAGTGTGGTTAATCATATTTTTATGGCACAGCTTTTTACACCTATAGCGCTGCTGTTAGGAAATTAATATATATGGGGCTGCGCTTGGCTTTGGTAGAACTGATAATGATATTTTGTTGTGTTTGAGATGCAGTGCTGTACCAAAAGCTGAAAGACTGACTTATTTGAGAGTTTTCCTTGACTACTACTCGGCACCTTTTTATGGAGTGTTGTCATTCTCTACAACACTGTTTACAACAACTGGAACACTATGTAACAGTAATCAAGCTAGAAGGCTTTACCTTCCACAATTAATAACTATAACCATAGTTTTATTATAGCAATACTAACATGAACCATTGGCAGAAATATGGACTATTTATTATATTTAAGGATAATATAATTACTATATTTTGTGCATTTCAATTTGTACTAAATATCTGTGTTTTTTTTATCTAACTTTTTTCTTGTAACAAATGAAATAGAAATCATAACAGGGTCTCCGCTGGGTTTTAAAAAGTCTTAAAATATCCTAAATTAAAAAAAAAAAAAAAAACATTAGGCCCTAAAAAGTCTTACATTTACAGAAATATTGTCTTGTAGGTCTTAAATAATTTTAGTCTTCATTTTCCTCTGTCCAGGTAAAGCTACCCTACCAGACCGACATGCATCCAATCACTAACAATCCATCTCAAGAAAAGCTATTTTTAATAATTAAGTTTTGTTTATTGCCAAGAAATACAATTTACAATTGTTGTTTGACATTTTTACAGCAATTTCTCCAAATTAAATTCCCTAATCAGGGAAAGAAAACTAAAAACAATTACACAACTCCTCATGATAATAATGTAGCAACATATATAATAAATATACTTTTAACAATGTTAAACTTGTAATGTAAAAAAAATATTATGTTGAAAAAAAGTGTATACAGCAAGAGTTTTCTTGCTTTTACACATTAAAATGTTACTAAGAAATAATTACATTTGATTTGTATTTTTGTGGCAACCGACCAGGCCATTAGAAATATCGGTGTTTAGCCCTGTATAAGTCTAAAATGTAATTTATAATGGTCTTAAATTTGACTTAAACCTGCAGAAACCCTGTATAAAGTTACAGCATAAAGTAGTTGTGGCAAAATGGTTAAAGCACACGTGTCAAACCCTGAAGCACTGCACAGTTTAGTTCCAATCCTAATTAAACACAATTGATTAAACCAATTGAGTCCTTCAGGCTTGTTTGAAACCTACAGGTAAAGCTGCGGTCACACTAGAGTTTGTGTGTGCGAAATTCTGTCAGGGGCGGGAATAAACAAATTTATTAGGCATTTAAAAAGTGAGCGATTGCTCCATGTTTTAAATTTCTGTCCAGAGATGTCACGTTTTACTCCTCGGTTGGTCTCACGCAGTCAAGTGATGCGATTTTCGCAGGTTAGAGTTCACCAAGCTTGAACTTTGCACTGCAACAACCTGCGAAAATTATGCATAACCCTGCGTTTCCGGTCTGACGCATTTGTGTGCGTATGAATGGAAGTCTATGGGAGGAAAAGCCCAGTGTGACTGCAGCTTCAGTGTGTTGAAACAGGGTTGGAACTAAATTATTCAAGGCTGTGGCCCCACCCAGGAACTGAGTCACGCTCCTTTTGAGATCAAAAGGTTGCAGGTTTGATTCCCGGTCCCGGCAGGAATCCTTCAATACCCAGCTGTGGTGCTCCTGAGTAAAGCCGCGGTTATACTACACGTTTCACCCCATAGAATTCCATTCATACTTGCACGGTTTACCGGTATTATGGTAGCATCATAACATTATGGCTTCAAAATACTGGCATGCCACTGTAGTTTGTAAACGGTAATATCATCACTAACAGTCTATCTACAATAGATAATGTTGAATGTGGAAAAGTCACTAAAATGCTCACACGTTTGTGCAACAATAGACCATTTCATTCTAATAGTGTCTGGAGTCCTTTAAGGTCGCACATTTTCTGATGTTTTCTGACGTTTGAAACGCACACCTGAATCGGTTAATTACAACAATCTCTTAAAAATAACAACTCGGAAAGTTAAATTTTGAATTACTTTGGATTGTTACCTGATAAGACTAAAAAAATCAATAGAAGAAAAACCCAAAATAGCATCAGGAAACAATGAAACAATTTACCACTTCATATAGCCTAATTTTGTTGGAAAAATGCTCTTTTAGTAATAAATTTTATTTGGTATAGTTTGCATCTTTATTTTAATGTATTTTTGTTGGTCAGTTATCTACAAAATAAACAAAAATAATAAATTTTAGTGACGTGGAAACAATACTTTTTTCAGTAATACGGGATTTATACATTAAATTTAAGTACGTCTATTAAAACATGTAAACTATAGTATTTCTGACTATTTTCTTTATTATTTGAGTTGTGAATTACAGTATTGCAATACTATTTAATATTGTGATACTTCAGGTGGTAAAGTATCGTAACATGAATTGATGGTATCGCGACAACCCTAATTTATATTCATGCGAATGCGGCAGATCGAAAACGCAAGCTCATGTGACAAGTTTCAAAGTTCACTGCGTTGAAAAGTTGAAGCTTGGTAAACGTGATTTCATCAGACCATTCCAAGATCTGTAAAGAAATGTAAAATATGCACCAATCCCTCGCATTTTTAAATGTCAAATTATTTTTTTAATCCCGCCCCTTTACGCAGTGACAGAATTTTGCATACTCAAACTCTAGTGTGACCGTGGCATAAGGCACCTAACCCTTAATTGCTCCCCAGCTGCTGGAGATGGGTTAAATGCAGAGGACCAATTTCGTATACGAGTAAAACCATACTTGATAAGGCTCACTTCAATCATTTTGTCATAAGGTGTGGTAATCTGATGATGCACAAAAATTGAGGCTGTTACAGTTTTTACCTATGGGTGTTTTTCTCTTGCATTTTTAAGAGACAAAACTTGTAATATTATTCATGTACAGCTCAACCAAACATCAGTCTGTAGCCCTGTGTGTTATAGAGTAATTCATTTACTGTAGATGCTCTGGTTACAGTGTGATTTCCTCAGTCTTCGGTGTCAGAATTTGTATTGGTTAATTATTCAGGAGCAGATCAATGTGATATTTTGATATGGTAGTTGTACAGTGTGATCAGTGGATTGAAATACTGTCTCCTTTCAGATGGTGCATGAAGACGGGAGACATGACGGGGATAAAAGAAATATTTTTGTATAATCCTCAACTAGAAACTAGAAAGGGGCCAGCTCACGATATCTTCAGTTTTCCTCTCTTTGACAGTATTTCATGGACATTGTGAGTGAGAATGTAAGTTCAATATCAGATGATATCGATATGTTACTGCAGTGTAAACCCTAACTTAGCTGGATAGATTTTATTTAAGCATATGGTATATTAATACTTCAAACCATATGAATGGACGGCTGGAACAGTGTCATCTGTTTGTGCTCAACCCTCCACTTTCCTCTATGGCTGGACCCACACTGAGAAAGACTGATCCTGGACTGTTTATAGCGCATCTCTTTCAAACCATCATGTTTAATAAGCCTTTTAAAGTACTCTTTCATGAAAGCTCTCTGTTTTTTCCTCTTTCTCTTTCAACATGTATTATATTTTATTACTGTATTATACTCATGAGTAATATTGGATATCAGTGGTTTTCTTTATAGTACTGGACAGGATTAAAGAACATTGGCTAGCATGCACTTTTCTTTACTCAGTCTCACGTGGTGGTTTTTCTGTTCTGCATTTATCTAATTAGTATCCATTATTTCAAGTTGTCCATTTGATGAGGTAATGCAAAATAAGAGTCCTTCTGGAAAAGCAGACACTCTTAAGGGATTTTGTCAGAAATGACAATTGCAGACGTAATAAGATTTTTTTTTTCTGATGCTGGCAATTTGAGAGCTGAAAAACAAACAAGCAAAACAAAATTTATACCCTTGTTTCCTGACGCTACATGGAGGTCTTAGCAAGGAAAACAACTGGTCTGTTCAAGAAATGAAAAGTATAAAAGCCAGTATCTCTAGGCTTGATATTTAGCTGAAACTGTGATTTATTAAATTCATTTTTAATGTTGTACTGAAGAAAATATCTTGTAGAATGGTCTGAGGTCTGGTCTTTTTGGGGTTCTTTAATATTATTATTATTATTATTATTTATTTTTATTTTTTTTACCCTTTTTGTACCATTTGAAATTGAGACTTTCAATCATCACAATTCATAGCAACCATATGATTGCTGCATTTACCCTGGGGTAAAAAAAAGGAAAACAAAACAGTTTAATACAAATGGACACCAAAATCATCAAGACCATTTTTTGAGTGTGGGCAACTATTCTTGACACACTCTTCACTTCAAGCTGGAATTGCACTGTCTGCTGATTAGCTTTTAGAAACAAAAATCTTTTTCAAATTGTAAATCCTAAAAATAAAGCTAATATACTTTAAACTTTTAATAAAACAGTTAAACTTGTGTAATGTTTACTTTGAAGTACCATATATAGTTTTTGTTTATTTGAATGCAGCACATTAACTTATTGCTCCATAATTGGCAAATTATTCTATTTTTACTGTATTTAAAAAGTCCACTTATACTGAACATTTTCTTGAGTTTGTTCTATTGATCATTTTTGCTGTTACTGCTCAGGGGAATAGATCATAGCTCCAATTAATCAGCTTAGGAGTGTAATAAAATGAACTTTAACAAAGTGCTATAATAATAATTAAAAGCAAACTTCCTTGCTGGTTAGGAATAGGGTTTGGCATTATTTCACATAATTATGTACAAATTACTGTTATTATAATACATGTAATGTGTCAAGAGCACTGCAAATTATAGTGTATATGTACGTATGTGTGTGTATTATATATATATATATATATATATATATATATATACACACACAAACTCTCACTGGCCACTTTATTAGGTACATCTCCCAAAGGTGCTCTATTGGATTGAGTTTGGTGACTGTGGAGGCCATTTGAGTACAGCAAACTCATGGTCATGTTCAAGAAACCAGTCTGAGATGATTTGAGCTTTATAACATGATGTGTTATCCTGCTGGAAGTAGCCATCAGAAGATGGGGACATTGTGGTCATAAAGGGATGGACATGGTCAACAACAATACTCAGCTAGGCTGAAACGTTGACACAATGCTCCAATAAGCACAAGGTGTGCCAAGAAAATATCCCCCACACCATTACACCACCACCAGCAGCCTGAACTGTGGATACAAGGTAGGATGGATACATGCTTTTATATTGTTGACGACAAATTCTGACCCCACCATTTGATTGGCTCTGCAGAAATCAAGACTCATCAGACCAGGCAACATTGTTCCAATTTTCTATTGTCCAATTTTGGTGAGCCTTTGTGAATTGTTTTCCTGATCTTAGCTGACAGGAGTGGCACCCGGTATGGTCTTATGCTACTGTAGCCCATCCACCTCAAGATTGGATGTGTTGTGCACTCAGAGATGCTGTTCTGCTTACTTCAGTTGCACATATATAATATACAATAACGTTTTAGTATCTTGTAAAACATCATCTATTTGATCTTTCTTTGGATATAGACTATCCTGTGTTGTGGGTTTTATTGTGTTCACTTAAGCAGCTTACTTAGCCTACAGTATGATAATGACATTTTAGCTTACTATCTCATAACATTTTGTCTTGTAACAATTTTGTCAAGAATCTGCTTTCGTGCTGTTTTTATTATTTTACTACTGGGTGTGTTTTTAGCTTGTGCCGCTCCGATATTGTTATTTTTATTTAAATATTTGTTGTTGTTATAGTAGTAATTAGCTGTGCCTACCGCTTTAAGTCAGACGGCGGTTCGTGAGCGCTCCCGCTGATTGGTCGACAGACTGTGGTCCTCCTATAAGCTAAACCGCCCACAGTGTAACGTGAGGAACAGACAAATTGTGCACGTTCAGTCCTTTAAAGGTGAAATTGAGAATTGTCAGAAGTACAACTGCGTCCGGCATTTCACCGAGAGTTGAGGACCGTTTTGCAGTAGCTTGTCGGTGTGGACGGACATGGCGTCATCGAGCCCGTGTGTCGTGGTGAGTGTTTTACTGTACACACTCGTGCCTTTTACACAGCCCTCGATTAGTCACTGTACACAAGCTTCTATTATGCCGAAGTGGGTTTTGGACGGTACAACTATTTGTGGTGGTGTCCTTTTTAGGCCTAGACGTCATCCCTCATACACGTGTGAGTTTGTAGAGATTTCTAATTAGCATTATTTGAGTGAAGTATAACGTTAGGGGCCTCTGGGGGAAGCACGCGTTTCACGCATGGCACATGTGATGCACACCATTCATTTGTGCACGTACGAGCAGTGGAAAACCAGCCACAGAACTCTGCACTTGTTTGGTTGTGTATTTTTATTATTTATTAATTCAATGATGTAAAGGTACACTAATGAGAGGATAAAAGAAGGCCAGTTTGATGGGAGCAGAATGCCATAGTGTGGTGTTGGAAACAGCACACAGCTTTGTTCAGCGAGAAGGCTCAGGGGAGCCTGTCATCATTTTCCTCCTCCCTAAATTAAGATATTGTCTTGAGGATATAATTTTAGACTCCCATCATTGCAATATGTGATTGTGTTTAATTTAAGAGTGTGCTAGACTCTTAAAGGGACCACTCACAAAAAAGTCCTATGTAAAATACAGTAATGACAAGAATGTCCTGGTCTGACTAATAAATGAAGCTGTCAAACACCAAAATAGACACAGCATCATCCAAAAATGCCAGAGACTTGTATTTCAGGTCTCCAGGAGTCAATAAAACAGCAGTCATGTGTGAAACACTCAAGTTATTATTCACTGAAAATGTGTACCTGGGATTTATCAAACACTGCAGCTAAATTTGGTTTTAATTTTGCCATTTAGCGCTTGGTTTTGTTCACACACATTTTGGAAAAATACTAGAGTCACAACCACGTTCTGCAACCGAATGAACCAATTTGTCTAATGTTAACGGCAGCAACATTTGCAGACATTTTGTGCTGAACTATACAGCTGCTATTTAAACCCGTATCATGGACACAAGAAATAAAGCCAAATACTTTATCTTTGAAATAAATTAGCTGCGTATCAAAATATCACAATCTGCACCTTTCTACTTGTGTAACTCCATAACCTAAGTCACTTAAGCCCATATATGCTTGTAATAAGTGTATTTGGTAACATTTCAGCAGTGTTATTTCAGTCGACAGTGTACCAAACCACATGCACAAGATGTCAAAAAAGTTGCTATTGTTATCTATGTTAGAAATTCTAGTCAGTTTCAGCATTATCATTTTCCACACAAACACACACAGGTTTTGTGGATTTAAACATGGTTATCGCTCCTGAAATTGACATTGTGTATGTGACCATTGAGTCAGTGACCTGAGCATGAGAACATTCAACAAATCGTTCATTTATGCGTCATCATTGTCAGCTTAAGATCAAAGAAACACTTGACACCACTGGGCTTACAATGCTTTTCAGAAACCGGTCAGTAAACTGGATTAATGATTACTTAAAATGATCCTAACAATAATAAAACACAACACAGAGGCAAGATTGGTGAATTTCTGAAAAATACTGACTTGTATGAGAGTTTGTTCATCTCAAAATAACTATTGTATGACTGTAGAAGCCCTTGAATTTAGGCTACAGGTCATGTGGACTGCTGTCATGGTGATTTTCTTTTTTTATGCATGTTTGCTTATCCTCTAGCCGTCAGCATATAGAGTTAGGTGAATCTACTTTGTAAATACTGTTACCTGAAGAGCTGAAATTATTTATGCTGCTTTATTTGCCCTAGGCAGTATGCTTCATATTTTGATAGAGCTTAAAGATGACATGTGACTTGCATGTGAGTCTAAAGCTTTTATTTGCGTGAAAAATGGCTCACTAGATCTGACAGCAAGCCGACTTAAGTAATGTACGCTCTAGCAGCAGTATGAGAAACTCGACTTTGGCTTGGAGCCATCGGACACAAGCCCAACAATCTGAGTCTTATCATAGCCACGTCTGTTGTTCATGTGCATTTTGTGTTGAATCTCAAGGTACTGGCACCTGCAGGTCCCAGAGGAGCCTCTGCTGACAGTTGCACATTATTTGTCTGAACCTTCTTCAAGGGCAGTGCGATAACACTTATGGGTAGAATAAACAATGAACTAGCTCGTCTACTTCTGCTTTCCTGGATTTTATCTGCTTCCCATGTGAGGAATGATTGGATATGTATTTTTTCACGTTATTTGTGTGCCATCTGTTGTTTTGGCAGATTTTTTGTCAAAGTTGTACTCCGCTCCGCTTGGAGAACTGCATCTTGAAGGAAAATTTTTAATTATTATTAATAACTAATTATTCTATAATTATGATATGGTAAGGTAACTATATTGGGTAATAATCTTCAACCACACACATTTATTTTTGATTTTGAGTGGAAGGAAAAATGATTTAAAGGGCACCTATGATGGAAATCATCTTTTGTAAGCTGTTTGAACAGAACTGTGTGTAGGTATAGTGCAGGGGTCACCAATCTCGTTCCTGGAGATCCGGTTCCCTGCGGGGTTTAGCTCCAGCTTGCCTCAACACACCTGCCTGGGTGTTTCAAGTATACCTAGCAAGACCTTGATTAGCTTGTTGAGGTGTGTTTGATTAGGGTTGGAGCTAAAATCTGCAGTACACCGGCCCTCCAGGAACAAGTTTGGTGACCACTGGTCTACACAGTCAAATTGTGGTGATATAAAGACAATAAGTCTCTTTTTTTCTAATTTCCTGACATTAAAATAGGATCCAAATCCCTCCCATTTTGAGGCCCACCACTACGTGATGTAGGGAGTGCGGTTTCCCCACCCACCTAATTGATTGACAACCGCGTATTCACATGTCTTCGTAGTAAAGCGTATAATCAAATCAACAAGACAGGATGTGCACAAAGCAACTGGGATTAAAAGATCTGTTCAGCTCGCTGTGATTCTCAATCATCATCAAATGTGATCAGAAATGAGTTTTACAAGTAAAATGTTTTAAAACGGTGCATGTTTGTAATGAATTACAGCGAAGTTTTTTTTTTTTTTGTCTTTATCACCACCACATGTCAGTACAATTATAAAAGAAGACGCTTCAATCCCGGTTTGTGGACATTACATCAGGTTTATTTTGTACATTAGCATAATGGATGTCCATACAGCAGTGGATATTAATGTGGATGTATGAGAGAGAAAGAAAATGAATGAATAAATAAATGAATGAATGAGAGAGAGAGATTGATTAGATAATATGTGTGCTTTTTACAGTCACCTTGTTGAGGACATTATTGCCATGAACCTAACAGCAAATGTTAGAGAGGTGCAAATGTCACAAACTGATTTTAGTAATGCATTTTCACAAACAGCTCAAAAAGTCATTTTAATAGTTTTATATAACAAAGCAAATGTATATGTAAATATTTTAATGTTAAATTTAAGCTTTTTAATAATAATTGACAATTCAAAACGATTTAAATATATGTCAAAGTATACAGTTCAGGTCAGAATTATTAAACCTCCTGAATTATTAGCCTCTACTGTATATTTTCCCCTAATTTCAGTTTAACAGAAATTTTGTTTTTTCAACACATTTTTAAGAATAATAGTTTTAATAACTAATCTCTAACAATTTATTTTCTTTTATCTTTGCCATGATGCTTATTCAGCTTAAAATGCAAAAGCCTAACTAGGTTAATTAAGAAAGTTAGGGTAATTAGGCAAATCATTGTATATCAGTGGTTGGTTTGGTCTGTAGACCAACAAATGTATTGCTTAAGGGGGCTAATAACATTGACCTTAAAAATGTGTTAAATAAAAAAACTGCTTTGATTCTTGCTAAAATAAAACAAAAGACTTTCTCCTGAGTAAAAAAAAATGATTAAAATACTGTGAAAAATTCTGTGCTCTATTAAACATCGCTTGGAATAAGAAAAATTCACAGGAGGGCTAATCGTTTGGACTTCAACTGTTTATGTCACCTTACTCTCAGTTTATTGGTGCAGTTTGAATTTTTTATTTATTTTTTAATACCTCTAACCCAGAAGCCCAACACCTTCTTGAGCCCGAAAACTCAAACTTTGCCTGAACTTTTACCTCAAAAACCCAAATTGGTTATTTGCCTGTAAGTTTGCAGTAAAGCTCACCTATCCCCTCCTGCCCTATTTTAGGTCTGTCCTCCTGTCCAATAGATAAATGTTATCAGTCAAGAAGTTCACCCACTGTTCTTTGACCTACAGCATTAGTGACAATTGAATGATGTCATTTGTGTATTTTAGATCAGCGATGAGGAGCAAGGTTATGACCTGGACCTCTTTTGTATACCAAAACACTATGCGGCTGACTTAGAGCGGGTGTATATTCCTCACGGGCTCATCATGGACCGGTATGAGCCAGATGAAAAATAAAAATGCACAACCTGAAGACTGTTGGCGGAACTGATAAATCTGTTTGATTTCCACAGAACTGAACGTCTGGCCAGAGATATCATGAAGGACATGGGTGGACACCATATAGTGGCTCTATGTGTGCTCAAAGGAGGCTACAAGTTTTTTGCTGACTTACTAGATTACATCAAAGCCCTTAATCGCAACAGTGATCGCTCCATTCCCATGACAGTGGACTTCATCCGCCTCAAGAGTTACCAAGTAATCATTCATCTTAATGACTTTTAAAAGTCAAGCAGGTCTGTCTGTGTTTGTTGATGCGTGTTTAATTGGCCTGATGGCATAAATGAAGAATAACCCTTTGCAGTACAAACTTCTTTTGAAGTAGATGTCACTGTAGTAACTGGAACACAAAAATGTCTGTGTGAGTGTCTGAATCTTGTTCTTTGATTATTACAGAATGACCAGTCCACAGGTGACATCAAAGTGATTGGTGGAGATGATCTGTCCACGCTAACAGGAAAGGTGAATAAAAATAGCCTTTACTGTATCTAAAATCACATTATGCCGATCAAAATTTACTTATTTGCTTTTTTGAACACCATAGAACATTCCAATCTTAAACCACTATCTTAATATTACATTTAACAATAGCAGTTAGAGGATTTAAATTAACAGTTGACATTTAAACGCTAACACTCTACAAAAAAAACGAAGGTTGAAAAAATAGATGATAAAATGATACAATATAATACTACTAATGAAATAACATGTATGATAATAAATAAGTACACTTTAAGGGTTTAGATATTTTAAGCCGTCTTAGTCTTTAGATACAATCTATATTACGTTCTCTCAATCAGCGCAAGAAAGAATCCCAGAGTTTTCATATAGCGATCAAAGCTTCCTGAGAGTAAATATCACATTCATCTAAGGCAGTGGCCCCCAAAGTGAGGGTTGGGACCCCCCGAGGAGTCGCAGGACCAAATCAAAATTTTTTTTTAAAACTATTAGAATACCATATTTTTTCTATAACCTACTGAATAACAAAATAGTAGTTAATATTAACATTGTTAACAAAAACATGTAAATAAAAAGCCATCAGGTTTTTTTTTTTTGGACCCCTGGGGCGATTACATTATATTAAAGACACAGCAATAGCGTTTTATGGCACCAGGTTAAATTTTCTGACACCTTTACTGCACTCACATACATTACAAATAAATACAGGCTATGGAGGATGGTCTCCAAGTGACATTCCCCAAAATTAAATGAATCAAAAGACTGGTGCCTATTGTTATGTGTGTGCCATTGTGTCCAAGGTTTAGATATTTATAACCACCTCAGAGAAAATTGAGGGTCATGAGATGCTGGCTTTGTTATTTTGTTGTGGGCTGAAAAGTTTGGGAACCCCTGATCTAAGTGACACTTTTATTGTTACAAAGCATTTCCTTTTTTAAATAAGTGTGGTTCTCATGAACTTGATTCATCAAAAAATCCATCCTGAAAAATGTGTTTCATCAGGCAATACAGTAGCACAGATGTTTCAACATTGACCAAAAGAAAAACAAATCTTGAGGATATTTGAAAGAATTCCGATTAATCAAGTAACACTAAACAGTGGCAGCTTTCTAACCTTGTCAGTCTTCCAAGGAACAGTGCAGTGTTTGAAAATATTACAATAGATGCTGGTGCCGATATCGGCAGTGCATCAACATGTTAGCGCCATCGCGTATCCCAGGTTCAAGTCCCACTTAAACTTTTTTTTTTTTTTTGACAAAATAAATCCAGCCTTGTAAGATTATAAATCAAATATATTTTTATGTCTTATCCCTATGCTTTTGCATGATGTTTAATAAAAAAAATAATGCAAGCATTTAAAATATGAATGTTAATCGTTTCTTCTTCTCTCGGCATGTTCTTTTTGACACCCAAGAACGTCTTGATTGTGGAGGTATTTGTGAATTTATCTTTACACCACTTCTTTAAAACAGCTTGTATTATGCAGCAGATGTTTGTGTAATCTTAACATTTGTTTATTAGGACATCATTGATACTGGGAAAACGATGAAGACGCTGCTAGAACTTCTAAAGCAATATAACCCAAAAATGGTCAAAGTTGCAAGGTACAGTTGAATATAATGAATACACTTTGGATCAACCCAGTGTGTGCTGCTGATTGTTTACCTTGCTTCGGTCTTTTTGTAGACCACTAGTTAACAAATGCCAAAAACGTCCTACTTTTGAACATGTAGGTTCTGTAGTCTCATATACCTCTTCTATTCATAGTTTGCTGGTGAAGAGGACACCGAGGAGCGTTGGATACAGACCAGACTGTGAGTGGATAACTAAACCTGTTTTCCAGCCTTTTGTTGTCATGCATTTTGAATGACTTTGATATAGTTAAGATTCAGTTGACTACTCACAAGTAATGTTTATAAATGAATGCTGCTGCAGATTTTCAGGCTTGCACAAACCGCTGTAAAAGACTAAAGCTCATTGATTTATTTTTCTTCTTTTTAAGGGAATCAAGTCAATTATTTTGAATACTGAAGTTCTACTTATTGATTGATTTTAAGACCATTATAGTGCAATACTGTGCATTGACCACAAGGTTGCACAATGACACTTTTCAACGTTTTAAATAAAATTAATAGATTTCAGTCACGTGACTGGGGCAAGGCCCTGGAGGACAGAACATCGATAGAGCTGAAGCAAAGACCTGTCATGATTATTGGTATCAAGCCATCAATACTTGAATCACCTCTTAAAATAAGATAGCTATTTAGGCAGACAAAACACTAGTTTAGTTTTTTTTTTTTTTTTTTTTTAAAGTTTACTTAGTGCTGTTAATTTATATACTCATTTCTAGAGGATATCATGCTTATGGTTCACTACGGCTGGTCCCACATCAGCTTCACATATTGCGCCAATCAGATGATTCCTAACTCACTATAAATAACCTGAGTTTTTTTACTTCAGTCATCTTTGTTTTGAACAATCCCCCTTCCACCCCTACTCCTCCCCCTTCTTCTCCTGATTGTAGTAGTTAGTAGTTAGTTAGTTAGTAGTTAAGTAGTTAGCACTATTGCCTCACAGCAAGAACACTGCTCGAATTTAGTTTGAGCCCTTACCGGGCCAGATTGTGCAGATTTGCATGTTCTTCCTGTGCTCGTGTGGGATTTCCCCGGGTTTCCCCCCACCGTCTAAATACATAAATTATAAGTAAATTGACTAATCCATCCTAGTCCAATCCTATCTTTTAGCTGTTCTTAACCTACCTGAGCTAAAACTCTCCTCTCGCCCTTCAAATAGGAGAGAGCCCCAGGCTTGAGGATATTTTGAGCTCAGGGCTCTCTCCCGGGACAGCATGCCTAACTAGCTTTATAATCAATTATCAGCTAAATGTGAACTCTTGAAATAAATAATTAATTAATCAGAGTTTTAAATGAATAAACTTTCAGTAGAGAAACACTGTAAAAAGAAATCAGTGGACTTTACCCAGTAAAAAATTGGGAAACTCATTGCCTTAAAATGTGTAAGGAATTAATATGTGCATAATTATAAAATGAATTCAATTTAACAGTTTCCAAGTTACTCACCATCTACCCCCAACCTATCTCTCAGAGCTGTTCCGTTTTTACAGTCCCGTAAGCTCAAATAATTGATCAAAATCTTTCCTCAGTCCAGACTGAAACGTAGAGGGAACAGAGCTTTCTCTGTGGCGAGTTCGGAGTTATGGAACACTTTGCCCCTTGAGATGAGAACGGCTGCATCACTATCCATTTTAAAATCACTCCTAAAACTTGCCTATTTTTAATATTATTTTAATAGTCTTTTCTACTGCTTCATTTTTAAATGTATTCGGTCGTTTCTCTTGGCCTTCGTTACTTTCTCTTATGTACAGCACTTCGTCAGTCTTGACATTTTTTTAAAACAAAGTAACTTTGTCACTTTTAGGGAAACAGGTTTAACTGCAATTTGGTTTAGTAACTAATCACTTCTGACATTGTGTGCATAACCTTTTTTATGTATTTTATCATTTTGATTTTTAAAATTGCTGTAAATTCAGAACTATTTCCATCATCTTGTCTTTCCCTCTTTATTCTCCAGTTGTAGGATTTGAAGTTCCTGACAAATTCGTGGTTGGATATGCACTTGACTACAACGAGTACTTTAGAGATTTAAACGTAAGTGGCAGCATTCACAAAGCCTAAATGCAAAGAGGCCACGAACACATCAAACAACTTCTGCTAACTTCTCTCATTCTGACTTGCAGCACATCTGTGTGATCAGCGAAACAGGAAAGGAGAAGTACAAAGCATGAGAAGCCATGAACTTCCCCCTCTAGCTGTGTATCATTTGTTTTTAATAGACGTCTTACATTTTTACATCCATTTTATATATATATATTTTTTGTTTTGTTTTTCAGTAGTGCAGCTCACCGCAGGTTAGTGGTCCTCCACTCAGGGTCTCTGGTGAGGTGTGTGCTGTTAATGCACCTTACATTTACATTCACTTATACCTCCACAGGCACCCAACAAACATCATACATCAACCACAAACACTTTGCAGAGTTTAGCCTCTGAGAACAGAGGTCTACAAGCTACTGCTCTTGGTGGAAAGAAGCGTTTAAACACCTAGTTGTGATAGGGCCAGAATCCCTTTAATTTATTATAATGATCTGCACGAGATGTTATAGGTAGGTGTTTGTTTTAAAGATTAAAGTGAAAATTGATTTTAGGTCATCTTGCTTGCTATTCAATAGTGCACATAGAATTGGTTTGCTCAAATGGCTAAAGTAGAACATTCACCTTTCCAAAGACTCTTTGCAGTGCATAACTGTAATAGGAACAATGTTATTAATGATCTAGATCTGTGGGTAATGTGATTACATGCAATATGTTGAATGCTTTTACATGTAAATGTACTTTTAGCGTCAGGACAACCTGATCATCCAATCACATTTCAAATTTAAAGCCAAATGTTTTTCAGGGTTCCTGCAGGTTTTATGAAAGTAAATTTAAGACTTTTTTAAAGAGTTTTACTTTGTCCAAGTAAAGAAATTATGATTAATTTTAAGAGAATGCAATATGTAAATGTTTATTGTAAATTTAAAGGGAGCACACATTGAGATGTATTAGTTTGAAAATGCATATCCTTTTATTTAATTAAAATTAATTTGACATCATGTTTGGTTTCAACCACTTGACTAGGCAAATATTTTTGTACCTCTGATCACACTGCAAATAAGTCATGTTTTATCAATATTTTTGTCTTGTTTTCCTGTGCAAATGTCTACAAATTATTAAATCAAGCCACATTTACTTAAGATTTGCAAGATATTGTCTTTTTTCCCGTGAAATTGATCCAAAAAAGCAGGTTTATTATTACAACAATGCCACTGTGCTCCGACAAATCTGTCAAATTAAAATGTTCAAAACCACAGACTGGTATTTGTTCTAGTTTTAAGCATGACCTTCATTTTGTTTAGTTTTCAGTAGGTAATACAATACAGTGCCCTGCATATATAAGTACACCCCTCACAAATCTGTTTTTTGAATTCTTATTTTTAAATTTTATAAGCTATACAATATTATATTTGTGCATATACATTAGATTAGTCTGTACTTTCAGGCAAATCTGAAGCTTATCTAACAAAATAACTTGCGATAATGGTCCAAACACCAGTACACCCACATTTATATGTTATAGAAAAATATTGATTACAAATTTAACATGAGGAAAAATCAAGAGGCAAAACATTAAAAAATTTTGTTGTATTATCTTTCCATTTCTAAATATTTTTGGTGACTAAAATATTTGAATAAATATGTTTAAATAGTTAAAATCTGTTTTGTTTCAATGCTAAAGTACATTGCCTATAGAAATCAGAAAAAAAAATATTAGATAAAAGAAAAATAGATAAAAAAATGGAGTGTACTCGATTATACTGAGCACTGTAGCTTCTTCATTTTGCATCTTAAGTAAATGGATATTGATTTAAAGATGTTTTGGAAAACAACACTGAACACATTTATGCAATGTAACGCAATACTTTGAATTAAACTATGTGCTCAAGACCTCTAAACTGTGAAATTGAAATTTAAGATTTTAAGACCCGCAGAAACCCTTATTACCCTTTTCATTTGTTAATTATTATAGTTTATTTTGCCTGTCAAGATATTTATTTCCACCACATACTGTGGGTTTTGGTTTAAAATATTAATTAATAATGGGAAGACATTTTTATGGTGCCTAATATGGTAATATCGACTCTACCATATAAATACAGTATGAAAATGAATGATAAACTGATGGAAAATGTTCAAGTGACCTCACAATTGTTCAGCCACCTGTCAATTTTATGATATGAATGATTAAATTATTCAAAAGGTGTTCTTCTAAATTTACTTATCTTGTCAAAGCCTATCTCATTAATAGGGCCACATTATTATATATATTAGGGCTGCACAATAAATAGTTTCAGCATTGATATTGCAATGTGATCATTCACAATAGTCACATCGCGAGTATATGCAATGTTTAGTCTAGATTATAATTTATCATTTCGCAAGTGTTTTTTTTTTTTTTTTTTTTTTTTAATGCCTGTGACTGTGTGAGGCTTTTAAAGGCATTCAGCCATAATAAAATTAATTGTTATTAATTTGTTAAAGGTACAAATGGTACAATTCCTTGAGTTTATTAACTGAAGACTGATGTATTATTTTACCTTTGATTATTCAATTAATGTTTACTTGAATACAGATTGACTATTCTGAAAACAATAAAATGCTGTTTATTTAATTGGTATCTTTAAATTTATTGAATTTATTTACGCATGTAGATAGTTTCTTATATTTTATGCATATACACTCCCCTACAGAATCATCCCAATCAATCTAAAATTATAAACTCTCCAAAAAGTTATGCAACAAATCTAGTGAAATTGTATTCATATCGCAGAATAAAACATTACTGCAATGTTGGATTTTTACAGTATTGTGCAGCCCTGATATATATGATATAATATGCAATGTATGATACAGAATTGCTGTTTAATGTTTTACACTGTTACACAGTAAAGCCAACACAATCCTATTCCTATACTTTGTTCTGCTTAACTCAATTTTTACCATTCACATTTATGCTTTAACCAGATGTTTTCATCCAAAGCGATTTTCCACAGAGGATCATAAGAAATTGCCACATGACCAGCAGTGTTCATATTTACAATCCCAAGTTTATTAATAGAAAACAGCACATTTTAAAAAAAAGACATGCATACATATTGCTCTTTTCAGTAGTAACATGAAGAAGTAGGTGCACAATAATTTGGTCCTTGCTGATTTTATTTAAAAGAAGTGCTCCGGTACAGCACAGACAGGGACTGTTTTTTTTCTTTTTCTTCTTCTTCCTCACACATGCATGGGTATGCTCTTGGACAGGGATCTGCTGTTGCTCTTTGGAGTCTGTAAGTGCTGACAGGTCTTACTACAGCAGAACAGCAATACTGGATAACACCACAATCACCTCCAGTATTTATGTGCTGCTTTAGTACATTCCCTTCAGATCTGCTGCTCTCACGCTGGCTTTGAGAGAAAAATCCTGATGATCTGCATTACCATAAAAACATGACGTCCCGTTCTTCAGCATGCAATTTCAGTAATAAGTCTGTGCGGTCACCATATTATTTCTGAAATAAGCATTTTTTAGATTTACTTGTGGCAATTGCTTGAGATTTAATCACTATATATATATATATATATATATATATATATATATATATATATATATATATATATATATATATATATATATATATATATATATGGTATTATCACGATATTGACATAGAAAGCAAAAAGAGTTACTTTAACAGGTAATTGCTCATTTTGTGCATGTATGTGTATTGCTTGATCGCATATAAATGTTCAATGTAATTAAGTGTTTTAAACAAATTCAATCTCAAAAGGATTATAGAGTTCAATGGATAGTTTTCAACATCAACACAGTATGAAATAACTACGCTTGTCATTTAAAAAAAAAATAAGCAACAACTAAAATGTATTAGCGTTTAGCTCCATTAAATATGACTAAATGAACATTAACTGAGAATTGACCATCAGCTAAGAGCAGTAAATACTAGGAATGATCCGATCAATCAGCTGAAAATCAGTATTGGCCGATAATCACATTTCACGACTCGATCGGTACTTGCTAATCTGGCCGATCTCATGAACCGATCGCAAGTGTTTTACAAGTTTACAAGCAGAGGAAGATCCATCAGCAGCACTACAACACATGAGCAATGCTTCCAAATGGCATTCTTAGTCAATTGTATTACCATTTTTTAAATTTGTTTTATTCATTTCGTTTTGTAAAGCTGCTTCTGACCTTTAAATGTGTGCAACATCCTTAATTTATTATCTTAGGTATGGCAAAATTCATTCATTCATTTTCTTGTCAGCTTAGTCCCATCATTAATCCGGGGTCGGCACAGCGGAATGAACCACCAATTTATTCAGCAAATTTTTACACCCCGGATGCCCTTCCAGCCGTAACCCATCTCTGGGAAATGGTATGGCAAAATCTCATACTTAATGGGTAATTGTGCTCTGCAATGGCAAAGTTATAAAAAGCTTGAAGAATCAGAATATGTACTCTATATCAGCCGATCACCATGACAAGTAATCATTACTCCGTATCGGCTGCAACAATCCTGATCAAAGCTTCCCTAATAATTTCTTCACAAATAATTCTCAGTTTAATCAACTATTGTTACCAAATAGAGCCTTATTGTAAAGTGTTATACAATAAATGTGAAAATAGCCTGAGTCTTTAAGCATTTAGTGTTAAAACTCAATACAACAATATGAATATTCTTCAAATCTATTCTAAAAGCTTAAATTAATAATTATTTAAGGTGTTGTTGATGTTTATTATCACAATAAATTGTGTTATTGAATGTTGGCACATTTTAAAAGCAGTACATACACAATTTTCAATAACTACTAGTTTAATGCTATATATCAGTTGTCACAGTGTACATGTATGTGTAATAAATAATGGAAATACTTGTATATTTAGATATTTGTATTGGTGTTATTGCTTATTTAAAATATCATTAAAAGAATGAGCACTCCCTGGTGGGCATGAGAGGAACAACAGGGAGTTAAAAAGCCAAAAAATAAATGTAAAAAATACGTATTTTGGTTCTCAATGTTGTTAATATCATATGTACACTCCCATGAATGTTAAAATACAACCTGCACATGCCAACACAGAGGTACTTATGAGTTTCATTTCATTTTGTACTAAAAATGAATTACATTTGTGTTTAAATAATAGGAATATGTCTTTTCTCAAGGCTGGTGTGGTGTGTTGTACGTCTAGTTGTTGGTTGGCAACTAATGAAGAACAAAAAATAAGAGCCCTCGCCAAGCAGACATGAACAGACATATCCTCAATACAACATGTCACGGTCTGGTGTGCTAAAGCCCTCATTTGCACTTTAAATTAAATAAATATACATGTGCATTTAAAATAAACCCACTTACAAAGATACATAGGCAATATTTGAGGCCGACTGTTAAAATACACAACTTTATTCGCTTGTTAAATATCAGCTTATAATTAAGGCAATTAAAAACATTATCTGACGTATAAAGATGAATATGGAAATGGTTTATTTAAGTGATAAAAGTTATTTAAGTATTTTGCACAGGCTCTGCTGAGGTGGTATGAAAAACTCCAGACACGCACATTCAGCTGGATGCCACATACAGGGTGTAGTTAAACTGCTGCCTACTCAGCGATTTTACAATTGTATAAAACAACAGAAATAGCCTCCTGTTGAAGTGTACAGAATACAGACGGTAAAAAACTAAACACATTTCTAACATTGGTTTTAGTGACCGGTTTACTTCGAAAACTACATCAACAGACCGTGGGGTGTTTCCTCGCTTGCGTTTACAAAGGTTCCCTAAATAGACAACTTTGTACCAATAATAAAAGAGGATGTTGATTGTGCGGATATACTGAGAGACACTAGTTAAACACAAACGAGCGATTAAAACGCGAACTTTTGACTGACGCGCCAAAATGAGACCTCTTTCGTGTAATACAGCAAGCGACGTTTAAGTGTGATACTTTTCTCCGCGCGCTCAACTACAGCAGCGATTTCAAACAAAGGCTCAAGTAGTGAAGGCGACTGGACGCCAAGAGGCGCCTTAAACACCTCCGTCTCTTTCGGAAGGTCAAACTAATGAACAACACACAACTTGACAGCGTGAGAACGAGGAGGGGAAAATGCTGAAAATTAATTCCTCAAAAAAATACAAACTTACCTCGGGTCCAATCGAAAATGGCGCCGAAAAGTAAAAAAACGCACCAAATTTCATTGTATGGTCTCCTGCAAAGCTTTGTGGGAGCGCGAGCTGTTCAACATCCCCCGTAGAGTAAACGGAGGAGGAGTGCAACTGCAGTGTCGTGGCACGTTCTTACTATTAGGCACACTGGATCCCCTCAGGATGTTGTCATGCCCTTTGAAGCACTCAGCTTGGTCTCTCAGCTAACAAAGTTTCTGGTTTTAGTGGAGTATGTTGTACGAAAACCCACAGAAACTTATAAATCAAACTTAAAGTTGTTTGGCTAATCTTACATGACTGTAATTTCCAAGTATGTTTTTAAGTATACTTTGTGTAGTAAGTATACGAATTTCAGTGTAGTAGTATGTATAAGGTACAGTTCCAGTACTACCTGGGGCTAAATTGCCCCACTTTTAAGTTTTTAAAAATACGGTAATTACACTTTAAATAATACGAGTGGCAGTATAACTGTCACTCGTATTATTTAGTAAATGTATAATAATAACCACAGATACAATAATAATAGATAATAAATATGTAATATATTGTTTATAACTTCACTTTGATTTGTACTAAGTTAAATAATGAAGTAAAACAGTATTTTCTGTAGTTTTTATACAGCAAATATACTTGAAAGTTCTTTAATAATCCTAAATTTAACATTTACCACCCACCACTAGGCCTATTTAATAACACAAGTTTAATATTATAATTTAGTTTACATACATTCAATAAAAATATATTAACGTATACAGCTTTGCTCTTTTATTAGGTATTTATTACTTAAAATTAGCCTTTTAATATTTTACAAATTTTTAAGTTGATACTATACATTATCATGCACGTTTATAAGATGTAAATCTAAAATATATATATTTAGTAGGCTATAAAAGTAAATAATACAACACTTATTTAGGCTGAAACAAATTTACTTTACAAATAATTTGATTTACATTACAATACGATTTAAAGCATCAATCAAATCATGAATAACTTGAAAACCTGCTGATGATTATTATTATCCTATTTATAAAATGTAAGGATGTTCATCTTAGATTTAAAGTATATTGTATAAAGCATATTTTTAAAATAAGTATATTAACAACTGTTGCCTCCTCCCTGTTTCTTTTAAATCTCTGAACTAAATCTTTACACAATCAATGATTTTCCTGGTTATTGAATTGTTGAAATGACTATAATATTGTTGATTTTTTTTATCTACAAATATCAGTGGAAGTTGCCATCACCTGACCTGCGTAATGACCTTGCAGTCGCCTGGCTCAAAATCTTGTGTCTCTCATTAGAAGAAGAGAAAAGAAACATTGTCTGCTGCCAGACAGAGGCCTTGCAGTGAGCTGTATGAAGCATGTGACTGCTGTTGCTCACTGCTGGTGTGTTCTGTGTAAAGCTATTTTATGCAAAATTGGGTTTAGGGTGGAGAGAGTGTCAGTACACAGTGTATGTGTAGGTTTTGACGGAAGCTGGAAAATAGGTTTTAACTACAACTCAACGGCCTGTGTCTTTCATTTTTGTCACAATTTTTCTTTTTTCTTGACACAACCAATGTTATAATTTTCTTGTTTGAGGGTAAGATTAAGATCACTAAAGGTTTATTTTCTTGTATGAATTCAGCACAAGTCTTATCTTGAGGATGTCATATGTAAATATAGTTTAAAATGAGATATGGAGTCCTGCACATAACATTATCTTTTTTTTTTTTTTTTTTACCACACCTTACCATTTTATAGCTCGTTTTATTTAAAGTTGTAGTTTTAGCAAATCCTGTCAACGATCTCATCCAAAGGTGTCAAACTCAGTTTCTGGAGGGACGCAGCTTTGCACAGTTTAGTTCCAACCATAATTAAACACGCCTGATCAAACTAATTGAGTCCTTCAGGCTTGTTTGAAACCTACAAGTAAGTGTGTTGGAGCAGGGTTGCAGCTGAACTATGCAGGACTGCAGCCCTCCAGGAAGTGAGTTTGACACCCCTGACAGGCCCGTATTCAGCCTGGTGAAAGGGATGGGTTATTTTTCTCAGAAAGTGGACTTTTTTGCAGTTGTTATTTTCTATTTAATTATGAGGTTTTAATACTCCACATAGGGCAGCACAGTGGCGGAGTGGGTAGGGGTGTCACCTCACAGCAAGAAGATCGCTGGTTCGACCCTCGGCTGGGTCAGTTGGCATTTCTCCGTG